AAGGGTCTGCATTGCTTTAGGCACTGGTGAGACAAATAAATCAATTTCAGGAAAGCTGCTCTCATTAATACATTTAGTATTAGTATATAATTGGCCACTGCAGCGTCTTTCCAGATGACTCTGGAGACTCTGCGGCATTGCTGCAAAAGTTGACGTTTTTTTCCCTTCTCCATCAGGATCCCTGCTGTGTCGAAACAGTGATCCCATTAAATGAATGAGGGGGCTGTATTTCATGCAGTACTGATGTTGGTGTGAATGTGGGGGTGTCACAGTGGCACCCACATGAGCCTGCCATTTGATTGGTTTCTAAGTATAACCACCTGATGTTGTGCTTCTCCAGGTCTGGATCAGGACCGAGTTACACAGAGATTCACACAGACTTTAGTCTATACCGCAAAGACCTTACTTTGTGTGTATGAGTGAGTAATGACATTCAAGCAGAGACCAAATGGAAGCAAAAACAAACAGGACTTTGTTTACGCAATCAGATGGAGCTCTCATTTGCATTAATTTAATCAAAACTTTTGTACCACAAAAGTACATGTACCATTTGTAAATTTACATAGGCTCTTTGGGGTATAACTATCCACTTAGACAACAGTCTAGATGAGGCTGGGCTGACACAGAAGCAGAAGGGAAGAAGAAGTTGAGCTTTGCCAGTCAAATATGAGCAAGCACAGCACAGTAAATCTCAGTTAATTAATTTATAATGTGAAATTGTTAACACCATGATTATGTACAGTTTACTATGCTGTTGTTTCTCCTACACACTTCACAGCCCGTTCTCATTCCCAGGTCATTAAATACAGACGTGAGCAGTGTTCAGTTAATTGCAATCTGCAGCTTAACCATTAGATGCCACTAAATCCTACACACTGGACCTTCTGGCTGTTATATTTTGAACAATTTGGAATTGAGAAAGGTTAAAATGGGCGCACCCCATATACAGAGAACTAATTTAGCAGAGAGGGGATAAAAACAGAAAAATGGTTTCCAGATCCTCAAAAGACAAATTGGCTTTAATCTGGCTTTAAACAGTCGAAGCTGGCAATTGACCTTCACAACACAACATACTTATCTATTTAAATTTAATGTATCTAAGAAAACACCAAGATTTTTAACGTATATGTAGATTTTTGTAAAGAAGGGCCCAAGCGCATTGTAACCTATTCCTACCCATGTAGTTAGCTGGCTAGTTATTAGCTAGCCAATGATTGCCCAGCAGAGGATGTACTTCCTGCGGCAGCTGAGGAAGTTCTACCTGCCAAAGACAATGATGGTGAACTTCTACATCACCATCATCGAGTCCAACCTCACCCCATCTGGTACGCTGCTGCCACTGCCAAGGACAAGGGCAGACTGCAGCGTATCAGTCGATCTGCTGAGAAGGTGATCGGCTGCAATCTGCCATCCATCCAGGACCTGTACGCCTCCAGCACCCTGAGGCGTGCAGGCAAGATTGTGGCTGACCCCTCCCACCCCGGACACAAACTCTTTGAAACACTTCCCTCTGGCAGGAAGCTGCGTTCCATCAGGACCAAAACCTCACGCCACAAAAACAGTTTCTTTCCGTCTGCAGCTGGCCTCATTAACAAGGCCCGGATCCCCCTCTGACACTGACTCTTAAACCCACCCTGTATATATGCACTACATTAATGCACTCCCGTTTTCTGTACAGTTTTCTTATCTTAATTTATTTATATTTTAAAAGTACTTTTTTGTGTGTGATTGTTGTGTGATTTATATATTTTTGTGTGATTGTATATTTTATGCACCACTGCACCGAAGACGAATTCCTCATATGTGTACAAACCTACCTGGCAATAAATCTGAGTCTGATTCTGATTGATGTAGATTAAGTAGCTAGTTATGTAACATTTTGCTAACATAAGTTAACTCAACTTTATCTTTTAACCATCTTCAAAATTGTCTTTTCAACATAGACGAGCCTAGCACGTAGCATATCTAGGTACAGGATTTAGGATGGGTCAATTCATAACCAACCCAAACCTTAATCTAATCTATATTCATTACCTAACTGGGACCCCATAAATGAGCAGTGACAGTTACTTCTCTCAAAAGTTATTTAATTACTTTACCAATTTCTGCATGTAAAAGTAATTAGTTACGAAGGAAAGTAACTGTTGTGTTACTTTTAAATGTCTCCAATTCTCTTATTAATGCTCACAGCTGCCATGTTTATTATTGTAGTGTTGCTGTAGGAAAGGCAAATGTATCAACACTCCAGACCACTAGAGGGCAGCAACAACAAGCAGAGAGATGTCCTACCTGGGACAGTCTGATTTTCTGGTCAGTCTTTGGCAAAAAGTACCTCTGCAACTTCTATGGAAGTCAGGCAGAATCTGATATAAAAGGGTTTATTAGGATTGATACAAGATACAACTGCAGCTAAACCTGAGCAGGTCCCAGGAAACTGCTGTTTTTTTGCTTCTAACGCTCCTTCTCAGCTACTGTTCCAGCAGTTTCTAAAAAAATTAATAAAACCCCTAACTTTTGGCTTGAAAATGATTGTGTATTCCCACAGGTACGCTGGCAGGCTTCACTCTTCTCCAATCCTAGTGGGCACCGAAATTACAGGAGTCATTGTCTAGGCATGTACGGGTTTATACGGGAACATGTGCCAGACACTAAGGCCATTTCCGACAAAGTCATTTCCTCTAGCAGCTGCCTGCACGTGTGGGACTACACAAGACTGCTATATTCTTTACATAATTACTTAACATAATTACTTAGCTTTACATAAAAGCACACAACAATCTCAGTCATTATTATAATATATTTGTTAGAATGATTATTTATGACATTTTCCCCAACAAAGCTACAATTATTTTCTTTGTTAGTAGACGGGAAGATTTAGTAGAAGAGGAACCCACATGGATTTACACATTACCAAGGTTTGCTACAGTAGTTATTCAATAAATAATTATTTGATGAACATACTAAACTGTCTTGGGCTACCTTAAGGTTGGATGATAGTACGCTTAGATGTGCTGCGTTTGTCTGCCATCTTCTACAGTTTCACTACTACTATTTTTATTTAAGACAAAAGAAACCAGTAACAAGCCCGTTTAAAGTTATTTAATTGGAAAACTTAACATTACTAGTTATCAAAAAAAGTAATGGAATTACAGTAAAAATTATTTTATAATTACTTACTCCAAACACTGAAAATTATGTTTTGCCACATCAGGACCGGTCCCCATGAGGACTACTAGTCCCAAAGTAGTCCCATGGTCCCCATTAGGTAACAAAAATGTGAAGACACACACACAGCAGCCCACTACTTGCAACAGCCTGAAACTGCCTGAGATGTCTCAAGGGGATAACACAATTCAACCCTTTTTGTTATCATATGAAAGAAGATTATTGTACGCACTGCTGGCAGCAGGTGCACAGTAGCGTCGTATGTAGCACTCCACTGGATAAGTCAGTTTTTGCAAATTGTAAATCCAATACAAAGCAATCAGTGAATACAGAATACTAGTAGAGTGTGTGAAAGACATTTGATTTGTATAGATTGGAATATGTATAATCAATATAGTAATCAATATGATGAGCATAAACTTATACATTAAAGATGTTTTTATTTTTCAAATGGTAGCCTTGTCAGAAATAATGGTGCCAGAAACCGAGAGTGTCTTCTGCTTATCATGCACACATCAGAAATAATGGTGCCAGGTTATTATGCACCTGCTAGGTCAAGACTGAGGACTGTGGACATCATTAGATACAGGGAGCGGCGGCAAAACGCCTAGGAAATGTTCAAAAGAGAAATAATGGTGGATAGAGATAAGGTTAAAATTGGGAGCAGAAGCAGTAGGAGGGAAATCCCAATTAAGCCCCCAGAAGGAGGAGGTTGTGAAATAGCATAAAAGAGAATCTAGTATGAGATGAAGTCAGTGGCGCCGTGGACCTGCTCGGTTTACTTACTCTGCTTTGACAATTACAGGAAATCTATGTTTAATTCGCTTTTATTCTCTTCTTATTTAAAATTATTTTTGGGGGGCTTTTTGCCTTTGATTGACAGGACAGATCAAGATAGGAAAGAGAGGTGATGACACGCAAAAAAAAGGGCCACAGATCGGAGTCGAACCCACGGCCACTCAGCCTTGGTACATGGGGAAGCAGCTCTACCAGGTGAGTTTCCAGGGCACGCAAGTGTTTCACTGAAGAACTAAGCAGCAAATGAGGAACCTGAAGACACCTGGCCCAGCTGAAGGTTTTCTCCAGCAAGAGTAGTACGAAATGTAAAGCTAACGTAAATAATACCCATCACTGCATTGAAAAATGCAATGATGGCTCCCTGGATGAGACACTGCAGACCTTTTAGGTAGAAGGAGGATGGTGGTTGTCTTGAAGCAGGTGGAAACACTATCATGTGAGAGTGATTATGTTAAAAATGTCAGTAAAGACATCCACTAGCTGTTTGGAACGTTTCTAGTACGCAGCTGTTAGGATGTTATCAGGCCCAGCAGCTTTACTCATATTCACTCTCAGCAGGATTCTTCTCACATCTGCTGTGGATACTGAGAGTGGCGGATCCTCTGGAGGCAGAGTAGACCTGACAGCTGACTCTTTGAGGAGATGAAAGTGAGTATAAAATGTGTTACGCTCATCTGGCAACGTGGCCTCACACATGATGGGGGCGCTTCAGTTTCTGTAGCCTGTGATGGTCTGGATCTCCTGCCACATATCTTTGGTGTCGAGGTCTCTCTCCGGTCTCCGGTTTACCTCTTGATGCCAGCTTGTCTAACTTGGACTGCCTCGTATGAGCTTCAAATAAACTCTTTAATATATTTTCCGCAGAACTGAGGACTGGGGAATTTTGTCCAGTATGAAAAGGAGAAACGATTACAGCCCGAAACACCTGTATAAATGTTCATATAGGAACCTGACTATGGTTTTAAGACAGACTTGGAGGATAGGTTCACATTCTTCCAAAGTGAACTGAGGGTGAGTAAAAACATTACTTGAGATCATCATTTTCCATGTAGTTTTATTTGCAATTAATATTAATTCTTCATCACTGATGTACAACAGATTTGTGCCAGATATGTAACCACGGTACCATACACTATGTGGCGAAAAATATGAGGACATAATTTCACCCAATTGCAGCTATATGTAATAGTTGAACATGTGATTGCAGGGATTTGTTCCCATTCAGCCACAAGAGCATTAGTGAGGTCCAACACTGATGTTTGGTTGACCTCAAACATGTTGGATGGGGTTCAGGTCAGAGCTCTGTACAAACCAGTCAAGTTCTTTCACACCAAACTGGGAAAACCATTTCTTTATGACGTTGTGCTTGGGGACACTGCCATGTTGAAACAGTAAAAGGGTCTTTCACAAACTGCTGACATGAAGTTGGAAGTACACTCTTTCCTAAAAGTGAATTGTGTGCTGTAGCATTAAGATTAGAGGCCCGTCCACATACTTCTGGCCATTTAGTGTATGAAGTAAATTATATCGTACTATATGTCTCACATGGAGCTAATGTGCTAGCCTTTCAGTAACCTGGCCTTTAGCTTTGAGGAGACAGAGAGAGAGAGATCAACAAAACATTAATACGTAAACAACAAAACCACCAAAAAAACTCTGCCTGCCTGTCTGTCTGCAGACAACTGATCACATCTTCTGTCTGTCTGTCCATTCATCAGTTCATCCTTCAGTCGTCGACTTTGTGAGCTCTTCTGCAGAACGTCCAGTGATGTTCAACTGTGTTCTCATTTGCCCGTTCGCTCATGTGGTGAACACGAGTGTTGCGAATTGTGAAGCCCTGAAACAGTGAGACAGGCAAACTGAGTCATCTCACCAAAATAAACTCAGATTTTGCTTTTTTTAAATGTTGTGTAAACACATAAACACTGTAATGTTGACCACATACAATTCAGCCAGCAGTGTGTGCGCGCTACAATCTAATTTCTTGGCGTCAATGTCAGAATTTAATAGGTTGAAATACTCCAACTGATTTAAACAGTGTTTTCTAGCAGCAGGTTAAAGTGAGATAAAAGCTACACACAGCTTTGGAGATGAAGTCGAGCAGGTGGACACGCAGGCTGACTTCCTGTTGGTGGTCACATGGTCCGAAGGTGAAGGACACCTGGTAGTCTCTGGTGTCCATCATGTGTTTGTTCCACTTTGTGAAACTGCGCGAGATAGACTCCAACACTGCATGGACCTAAAAAGAGATTAATGTGACTACTTGTTATTTATTAACTAGCAATTTTGTTTTTAAATACTTTACCATTTTACGTACTGTATTCAAATTATTATTGTTCTTTGTATCTTGTTGTTATATAGTATTTTTTAACTGATGTAATTATATTTTTTACTGTACAGTAATGATGTTATTTAACTAAATAGAATCTCTTAAAACAATAAACTACATGATTTTAAGAACAGATTTTTGTCAGGATTTAAACTAAAGCATAAAAATGTATAGATGAGAACGTCCCTGTTAAGTGAGAGGAACAAATAAATGCATGAACCTGAAACTCAAAAAGAAAATGTGTTCAACACTGCATTTTATGACAAAGTGATATTTAGAGGCAACATGAATATAAACATAGTCAAAAGAAAGATGTGAACAGAGGGAAAGAGGAGTAGATTTGCACTAAACAGAAAAAAATGTGTCAAATTTAGTGAATGTTAGTGGAGGAGGGTCAACAGGTAAATTAGATAATAATACATATTGATGTTTTTGTGTCACTGAATGATATATCAATACAACCCTAACTAAACCTGTTCCCACTGACCTTGGTGGTGATGGTGAGCTGGGTGATGATGACTGCGACGGGGTTGGAGTACTTGGACAGCTTCCTGGTGCTGGACAGCTCCACCACCTCCTCGTAGGTGTCAGTGGGGTAGGGCAGCAGGGGTTTGGGGTCTCCCAGGCACTGGATCAGGGGCTCGATCTGATAGAAGTCAGCCTCCTTCCTGAGCAGCTGAGTCTCCTTGAAGTCGCACGGCAGCGTAAGTTCTGACGTCCGCAGGAAGTTGAGGATGTAGCTGATGCAGCAGAAACAGAGACAGGATCAGTGCAGACTGCTGAGTGAACGATTCTGTAAAACTCTGAGCTGTCAATTAAAGTCAGGACAGGAGGGAAGAGAGAGCTGCTGTATAACTCGAGAGGGAGAAAAGTTTGTTTTGGTTTTTCTGACATTTGAGTTTGGTCTTTATTTTTAATATTTGATTCACTTCTTTCTTAACGGACAAGGCTCGTGTTAGTCTGTATTTTTTTTTGTATTCTCAACAAGTCCCATGAAAAACAACAATGTGTTGAGTCCATTTCTCAATACTCTCTACCCAACCATGTCTGTGGCATTCATGCCGCTTATTTAACGTTACTGAAGATGCAGATCTTTAAATTCAGCTCATTAATACATACCCCGAACAGCCAAAACATTATGACCACTCTGACTGGTCTGCGGCTACGTAGCCCCATACTCAACAAACTGTGATGCTCTGTGTGTTCTGACGCCTTGCTATCAGAACCAGCATTAACTGTTTCAGCAGTCTGTTGGATCCCCACATACATCAATGAGCCTTGGCCGTCCATGACCCTGTCTCTGGTTCTCCTCCTTCCTTGGACCACTTTTGATAGATACTGACCACTGAAGACCGGGAACACCCCACAAGAGCTGCAGGTTTGGGGATGTTCTGACCCAGTCGTCCAGCCATTACAATGTGGCCCTTGTCAAAGTCGCTCAAATACTGACACTGCCAATTTTTCAACAAGAGTACAAAATGTTGACTTGCTGCCTAATTTATCCCACCCACTGACAGGTGCCATGATAACCAGATAATCAGTGTTATTCACTTCACCTGTCAGTGCTCACAATGTTATAGCTGATCGGTGGAGTTCCATATTTTAAAAAATGAACAGGATGGTAAACCAACGTAAACTACAGTGTCACTTACATGGTAATCAAGGAACATGTCACCCAATGAGTGAGGCTCATTGATGTGTTTGAATAGTTTTTGGACAACAGTGGAGCTCTATGGCACACAGCACAAGATCAGCCATAACATTGTGAGCACTGAGAGGTGAAGTGAATAACACTGATTATCTGGTTATTATGGCACCTGTCAGTGGGTGGGATGTATCAGGCAGCAACTGAACATTTTGTCCTCAAGTTGATGTGTTAGAAGCAAAAAAAAAAATTGGCAGTGTGAGGATTTAAGCGACTTTGACAAGGGCCACATTGTAATGGCTAGACGACTGGGTCAGAGCATCTCCAAAACTGCAAATCTTGTGGGGTGTTCCCGGTCTGCAGTGGTTAGTACCAATCAAAAGTGGTCCAAGGAAGGAGAAGAACCAGAGACAGGGCTCATTGATGTATGTGGGGATCCAACAGACAAGCTACTGTAGCTCAAACTGCTGAAACAGTTCATACGGGTTCTGATAGAAAGATGTCAGAACACATAGAGCCTTACAGATTGTTGCATATGGGGGGGGGGCTGCATCGGTGTATTTCAGGCTTTGATACACAGATAATACTTGTTAGCATAATCGAAAAATATAGGGCAGAGGGGAAGGGTTAGAATCTCAGTTTCTGCTGTGATATGCAGTTGGTAGGGTCAGAAATGGTGTGGGGGAATATTTTCTTGGCACACATTAATACCCTTAATACCAACTGAGTATTGTTGCATGAGAGCAAATCTGCACCACCTGACCAGCAAAAACATATACGTTACTTGACTACCCAAACCTGACCCGCAAGCCTGCAACTTTATGCTTTACAGTAGCACATTGTCAGGACTGAGTGCTGCAGCGCTCTCGTAGGGGCTGATCCTGCTGCAGGGAGCAGCTAGAAGCTGTCAGAGTGCTCTCTGTCTCCACCGCCCACAGTAGTGTGAAGATCTAGGCTAAATAAACAGACAAATTGTTCCAAACGGTGTTCTTTATTATTCAAAAGCAGCTAAACATGTAACCCTTCATTAAAGACACAAACTCTCTCTTACTCTCTCCACACACCACACAATGATGCAGCCTTTACTTTTCGGTCCAGTGTGTAACATTTAGGAGGATCTATTGGCAGACATGCAATATAATATTCATATGTATGTTTTCATTAGCGTATAATCACCTGAATATAAGAATCTTTGTGTTTTTTTGTTACCTAAGAATGAGCTGTTTTTATCTACCGAGGAAACAGGTCCTCGTCTTAGGAGTCCACCATAGTTTCTGCTTCTCGCTTGGTTAAGTCAGGGGTTTTCAGGTGGTTACAATGTGCAATCTCACCACAAGATGCCACTAAACCCTCCACAATGATCTTTGAACAGTGAATTTTTACAAAACAGTAGCCTACATATGTAGATCTACATTGTCTTTTTTTGTCTAGTGTTTCTGTGTAGAGAAAACAGTCCCAGGTTTTAACCTTCTCAGACAGGCTTTAAGCTCCAACCAGCTGAGCTGAAACTGCACTCACTGGATGAGCTTGATGCTTGAATGCTCAAGCCAGCATTTGCATGTGTTTGAGAGAAAGAGAGAGAAGGAAGATGCTTTTCCCACCAATTAAAGCAAAAACCGTGGAAATCTGAAAGGAAATGGCGTTCTTCCAAACTATTAGAATATCGTTCAATTTGGCAAGATAGTCTTAAAACATATAGAAAGGCCCTCCGTAATGCCAGAGCAGCCTATTATTCAGCACTAATAGAAGAAAATAAGAGCAACCCTAGGTTCCTCTTCAGCACTGTAGCCAGGCTGACAGAAAGTCACAGCTCTATTGAGCCACATATCCCCATAAACTTAAGTAGCAACGATTTTATGAGCTTCTTTTATAATAAAATTATTATTATTAGAGACAAAATTAATCACCAAATGTAGTGTATTGCTGTCTCTCCAAGTTCAGGAATTTTAACAAATATAAAATCAGATATATATTAGACTGTTTTTCTGCTATCAAGCTTCATCAATTAACTTCAATAATTTCTACATCAAAGTCATCAACCTGTCTATTAGACCCAATCCCAACTAGGCTGCTTAAAGAAGTCGTACCCTTAATTGGCACTTCTTTACTGGATATGATTAATCTTTCTTTATTGTCAGGATATGTACCACAGTCCTTTAAAGTAGCTGTAATTAAACCCCTTCTTAAAAAGCCCACTCTTGACCCAGGGGTTTTAGGCAAACTATAGACCAGTCTCTAACCTCCCCTTCCTCTCTAAGATTCTGGAGAAAGTAGTCGCCAAAGAGTTGTGTGACTTTCTACATAACAATAGTTTATTTGAGGATTTTCAGTCAGGATTTAGAGTTCATCACAGCACAGAGACAGCTCTGGTTAAAGTTAATAATGACCTTTTGATTGCTTCAGACAATGGACTTGTCTCTGTACTTGTATTATTAGATCTTAGTGCTGCATTTGACACCATTGAACATCATATTCTATTACAGAGACTTGAGCATCAAATTGGCATTAAAGGAACCGCACTAACTGGTTTAAGTCATACTTATCAGATCGTTCGCAGTTTGTACATGTTAACGATTAATCCTTCATAAACACTAATGTTAGTCATGGACTTCCACAAGGTTCTGTGCTTGAACCAATACTATTTACTTTATATATGCTCCCTTTAGGCAACATTATTAGGAATCACTCCATTAACATTCACTGTTATGCAGATGATACCCAGTTATATCTATCAATCAAGCCCGATGAAATTAATCAGTTATCTAAATTACAAACATGTCTTAAGGATATAAAATCCTGGATGAACTGCAATTTTCTGAATAAACTGTTCTTGTACTTGGCCCCAAAAACCTCAGAGACTCACTGTCTAAAGATATAGTCACTCTAGATGGCATTACCTTGGCCTCTAGCACCACTGTCAGGAATCTTGGAGTTATCTTTGATCAGGATTTGTCATTTAATTCCCACATGAAGCAGACCTCTAGGACTGCCTTCTTTCATTTACGTTATATTACAAAAATTAAACACATCTTGTCACAGACGGATGAAGAAAAACTAATCCATGTATTTGATACTTCTAGGCTGGATTACTGCAACTCCTTATTATCATGCTGCTCCCCCAATAAGTCCATTAAGACGGTTCAATTAATTCAGAACGCTGCAGCACGAGTACTGACAGGAACTAGGAAAAGAGATCACATCTCTCCTGTACTAGCTTCTCTGCACTGGCTCCCTGTAAAATTTAGAGTAGAATTTAAAATCCTCCTCCTCACCTATAAAGCTCTTCATGATCAGGCCCCTTCATATCTTAAAGAGCTCATAGTACCCTATTACCCCACTAGAACACTACGTTCTCTATAGTCTCTAAAAGTAGAACAGGAACCAGAGCCTTCAGTTACCAAGCTCCTCTCCTGTGGAGACCAGCTTGGCAGACACCCTCACCACATTTAAGAGTAGGCTTAAGACATTCCTCTTTGATAAAGCTTATACTTAAGGCTGGATCAGGTGAGTCCTGAACCATCCCTTAGTTATGCTGCTATAGGCCTAGACTGTCGGGGGATTTCCCATGATGCACTGAGCTCCTTTCATCCTCTCCCTCTCTTTCTGCACACATTCATGTCCCATTAATGTATGTCACTAACTTCACTTCTTCTATATACATACGTTTGGATAATGAGTTTAGTGCTTGGTAAATGTGATTCATCTAATCAGCTAGTTCCACATTTTACCATTTAGAAATATATAATTCTGCTGCATGTATTTACACTCATGTACATAAACGCACACTCACCGAAACAGCGGGCCGTCACGGTCAATGAAGTAGTTTCCGTGAACGTCCCTGACAGTGGGGAGGTCTCCTCTGAACATGGCTCCGAGCATGGATTCTGGGTAGCGCTGCAGCGTGGACAGAGACGTGCTGTACACGCAGCCGCCCACATTCAGAGTCACTGGCTCCCCCATCTGCACAGAGCAGGAACAGCAGTCAGAGACAACACTAAAGCTTTGAATATCTACCATCACCCTGAAAAACACACGTTTAACAAAATCCTCAATTGGAATAAAGTGATTTATTGGTGGATTTTTTCGAGGAGCTAACCTCGTGTGAGAGGTTAGCGTAGATGCTGCTTGCATCCGTTAAATCAGAACTGGAGAGTATTTCAGCTGTCAGTATATTCGTTAAGACGCAGTCGGCCTGAGTTATCCACAGTGAGGTAATCACAGATTTTGAATTTGGGAAAAAAAAAGAGCACTGGTATCAGCAGAGAGTTGAGTTAGTATCCGTTCGATCAGTACATCCCTAAACTAAATCCAAACCCAATTCTAACCTTAATCCTAAATTTTAATCCAACCCATCGACGTATATACAGACGTCAGCTCCTCAATAGTAAACTGTATTGATCGCCCTCTGGTGGCTCTCTAGGTCGTTTTTATCACTCTGACGTATGTTCAACTGTTCAGTTTTAAGCAGTTATTTGAAGCTATAAAAAAGGGTTTCACGTCATAATTGAGCGCCGCTCGCAATTCAGTCGGCCAGGCGTACGAGCAGGATCTTGATATCGCGACGCCAACCCTGATCACTGCTGTGCAGACTTTGAATGACGTCACCAGCGCAAGATGGCGACGGCTGTATCACAGATATTCTGGCTTAGTTTTTGTACAGTGGAAGGAAGTGGAAATGCAACGTCCATCTTTTATATGTCCATAGTCCAGCCTATTGTGAGGACACCGCATACAAGACACACACACACACACACACACACACACACACACACAGCATGAAAACATGTGCCATCATTCAAATGTCAGACGGTTTTTTAACTGGCCTGTCTGAACTGTCAGAGAGCAGAACAGTTCAGACAGAAAAATGTCTGCAGCAAAGAAACTAAACACACAAACACACACACACCACCCCACACACACACACACACAACACACACACACACACACACACCATGTGACCCACGTCTCCATTCTCCATCTGCAGCTCTGGTCCGTCTGCGCTGTTTCTCTTCGGGTCAGACTGTTGAGGAGATCATTTCTGTGTTTCCACCAACACCTGCAACAAGAGGACGAACAGCTTGTGAGATGGTTGCCATGGAGATAAGCGGCCAGCTGATGCTGCGTTGCCATGCACCCAGACATCATCTGGCTGATTAGTCTTGCGTCCCTGATGTGTCCACAAACTGCCAGCCAGCAAGAAACAGGAGGAGGAGCTGTGGGCGCTCAGAAACAAACGCAGACTTAAAAACAAACGAATTAACCTCCACGCGGCCGACTGAGGAAACTGAACACAGCATTTTAACGAGCTGCGATTAAATCGTACGTCACAAATCGGACTCAGCTGTATTTAAAGGCTGAGAATCTCAAAGCTTCTCCATTTGATGATGAATAATTTTAATTCTCTGTGCTGCAAACTACAAAACCATCTTCAATTAATCGACAGGATCAAGAGATATTTAATCCATAGTCCATGCATTCTTCTTCATTGTCAAACGCTGGCGCCTACATTACCCACAATGCAACTTGCCTGCTGACAGTTTGGACAGAGATTTGTGTGTGCTATGCTAGAAGTGGCTAACGGAGCCTCGAGCTGCCAGCCTGAAGCAGAGATGAAGGGCGGGTTACAGAGGCTTTACTGTTTTGAGTCAGCCACAGGAGGCTGAATTCTTCCTGCAGACGAAAGCTTAAGAAGAAAGAAGAACATCTAACAGCCACACATGATAATATCATTCTGTCTCTGCTGGATGTCCGATGCAGCTGCACTGCAGTAGCTAGCTACTGGTTTTACTGTGCATACAAGTCAGTAAAAAAAAAAGTTTTGTCCATAAATTACAATTTAAATCAGTTCCTATTGAGGAGTTTTGTGCTGAATAAAAAAAAAAACATCTTTTCACAACTCTAGTAATATGTGTCTACATATTTTTTTTTACCTGTGATCACTAAATGATGATGCATTAGCTGAGTGTTGAACTATTAATAGAAAGGCTTATCTCAGCAGAATTTACACACTTCAGTAATTACTCAGATAAAAGCTGACTGTGATAAAACTAGTCTGGGATGAATAAATGAATGAAGGATGAATAAAAAGCAGACTTACTGGGACCTGAATTATAAAGGATGACATGTTAATTCAACATTATTAATCCTCACAGAACTTTGAGCTGAAATTAGAAATTTAAACTTATTAGAGCAGAAAGAATTGCTCGACAGAAAATTAATAATCTGCAACAATTTTGATAATAGTTGAAAGCATTTATTAGACATTCACTCTTTTTTAACTTCTCCAATCTTAGGATTTTCTTCTTTTCAATTCAATACAATGCAATTCAATTTTATTTGTATAGCGCCAATTCATAACAGAAGTTCTCTCAGGACACTTTTCAGATAGAGCAGGTCTAGACCGAACTCTTTAAAACATTATTTACAGAGACCCAACAGTACCACCATGAGCAAGCACTTGGCGACAAGGGTAAGGAAAAACTGCCCGTTAAAAGGCAGAAACCTAGGACAGATCCTTCGGCTCTAGGTGGGTGGTCGTCTGTCTCGACCAGTTGGGGTGAGAGAGAGAGGAGAGAGAGAGAGAGAGAGAGAGAGAGAGCGAGAGACAGACAGAGAAACAGGTGCACAGCAACAACAGTATTAGCAATGGCAATCTAGCAGGACCATGGCAGGAGGCTCCACCAGGATCGACAAGAACCTGTGAGATGAGAAAGCACAAGAACTCCGGGGAAGAAGTGGAGTTAGTAACATGCATTAATGGGACATGAATGAGTGCAGAAAGAGAGAGGAAGGGAGGAGCTCAGTGCACCATGGGAAATCCCCCGATAGTCTAGGCCTATAGCAGCATAACTAAGGGATGGTTCAGGACTCACCTGATCCAGCCCTAACTATAAGCTTTATCAAAGAGGAATGTCTTAAGCCTACTCTTGAATGTGGTGAGGGTGTCTGCCTCCCGAACCACAACTGGAAGCTGGTTCCACAGGAGAGGAGCCTGGTAACTGAAGGCTCTGGCTCCTGTTCTACTTTTAGAGACAACAGGAACAACAAGTAGCCCAGCATTCAGAGAACGTAGTGTTCTAGAGGGGTAATAGGGTACTATGAGCTCTTTAAGATATGAAGGGGCCTGACCATGAAGAGCTTTATAGGTGAGGAGGAGGATTTTAAATTCTATTCTACATTTTACAGGGAGCCAGTGCAGAGAAGCTAATACAGGAGAGATGTGATCTCTTTTTCTAGTTCCTGTCAGTACTCGTGCTGCAGCGTTCTGAATTAATTGGAGCGTTTTAATGGACTTATTGGGGCAACCTGATAATAAAGAGTTGCAGTAATCCAGCCTTGAAGTAACAAATGCATGGATTAGTTTTTCTGCATCTGTCTGTGATAGTATGTGTCTAATTTTTGTAATATTACGTAAATGAAAGAAGGCAGTCCTGGAGGTCTGCTTTATGTGGGAGTTAAAAGACAAATCCTGATCAAAGATAACTCCAAGATTCCTGACAGTGGTGCTAGCGGCCAAGGTAATGCCATCTAGAGTAACTATATCTTTAGACAGTGAGTCTCTAAGGTTTTTGGGGCCAAGAACAAGAATTTCGTTTTTTTCTGAGTTTAACATCAGAAAATTGCCGCTCATCCAGGATTTTATGTTTGTTTGTAATTTAGATAATTGATTAATTTCATCGGGCTTGATTGATAGATATAACTGGGTATCATCTGCATAACAGTGAAAGTTAATGGAGTGATTCCTAATAATGTTGCCTAAAGGGAGCATATATATATAGTAAATAGTATTGGTCCAAGTACAGAACCTTGTGGAACTCCATGACTAACTGTAGTATTTATTGAAGATTCATCATTAACATGTACAAACTGCGAACAATCTGATAAATATGACTTAAACCAGCTTAGTGCAGTTCCTTTAATGCCAATTTGATGCTCAAGTCTCTGTAAAAGAATATGATGTTCAATGGTGTCAAATGCATCACTAAGATCTAATAATACAAGTACAGAGACAAGTCCATTGTCAGAACCAATCAGAAGGTCATTATTAACTTTAAACAGAGCTGTCTCTGTGCTGTGATGAACTCTAAATCCTGACTGAAAATCCTCAAATAAACTATTCTTATGTAGAAAGTCACACAACTCTTTGGCGACTACTTTCTCCAGAATCTTAGAGAGGAAGGGGAGGTTAGAAATCGGTCTATAGTTGGCTAAAACCCCTGGGTCAAGAGTGGGCTTTTTAAGAAGGGGTTTAATTACAGCTACTTTAAAGGACTGTGGTACATATCCTGATAATAAAGAAAGATTAATCATATCCAGTAAAGAAGTGCCAATTAAGGGAACAACTTCTTTAAGCAGCCTAGTTGGGATCGGGTCTAACAGACAGGTTGATGGCTTCGATGTAGAAATTATTGAAGTTAACTGATGAAGATCGATAGCAGAAAAAATATAAATATATATCTAAGTTTACATTAGTAAAAGTCCCTGAACTTGGAGAGCCACTGATAACTGTTGATGGCAGTTGGTGATTAATTTTGTCTCTAATAGTAATAATTTTATTATAGAAGAAGCTCATGAAGTCATTGCTACTTAAGTTTATGGGGATATGTGGCTCAATAGAGCTGTGGCTCTCTGTCAGCCTGGCTACAGTGCTGAAGAGGAACCTAGGGTTATTCTTATTTTCTTCTATTAGTGCTGAATAATAGGCTGCTCTGGCATTACGGAGGGCCTTTCTATAAATTTTAAGATTATCTTGCCAATTTGAGTGATATTCTGATAATTTGGAAGAGCGCCATTTCCTTTCAGATTTCCTAGCTATTTGTTTTAACTGGCGGGTTTGGTGGTTATACCACGGTGCTAGTCTCCTATGTTTTAATAATTTCCTCTTTATAGGAGCGATAGAGTCTAATGTTCTTCGTAGTGAGCCTGCAGCACTATCGACAAGATTATCAATTTCAGGGGGACTAAAGTTGTTATAGGATTCTGTTAAATTTTCACTGTTTCATATCACAATAAATTACATTTCTGCCGATAAATCCTCCTAAATGTTTCACACTGGACCTTAAAGAAACAGAAATTAATTTAATAATCTGTTATGGCCACATTTTAGACCAAGTGATGTTGGGACTCAGATTTTATGCATATTGTGGACATTTTTCCTAAAATCTGATTAAAATAAATCCCAATATATTGAATCGTAACCCCTGTATTGTGATAGGCATCCTATCGCCAGACAATGCACAGCCCTGAGCCCTAAAACACATAAATGAACTAATTTATTGATTTCTAATGCCACCTTTACATATTACTAATTGCTGCTTTATTATTTTTTATTATTATCTTTATTATCAGGATATGTACCACAGTCCTTTAAAGTAGCTGTAATTAAACCCCTTCTTAAAAAGTCTCTCTTGACCCAGGGGTTTTAGCCAACTATAGACCGTTTCTAACCTCCCCTTCCTCTCTAAGATTCTGGAGAAAGTAGTCGCCAAAGAGTTGTGTGACTTTCTACATAACAATAGTTTATTTGAGGATTTTCAGTCAGGATTTAGAGTTCATCATAGCACAGAGACAGCTCTGGTTAAAGTTAATAATGACCTTCTGACTGCTTCTGACAATGGACTTGTCTCTGTACTTGTATTATTAGATCTTAGTGCTGCATTTGACACCATTGACCATGATATTCTTTTACAGAGACTTGAGCATCAAATTGGCATTAAAGGAACTGCCCTAACCTGGTTTAAGTCATACTTATCAGATCGTACTCAGTTTGTACATGTTAACGATGAATCCTCCATAAATACTAAAGTTAGTCATGGAGTTCCACAAGGTTCTGTACTTGGACCAATACTATTTACTTTATATATGCTCCCTTTAGGCAACATTATTAGGAATCACTCCATTAACTTTCACTGTTATGCAGATGATACGCAGTTATATCTATCAATCAAACCCAATGAAATTAATCAATTATCTAAATTACAAACATGTCTTAAGGACATAAAATCCTGGATGACCTGCAATTTTCTGATGTTAAACTCAGAAAAACCGAAATTCTTGTTCTTGGCCCCAAAAACCTTAGAGACTCATTGTCTAAAGATATAGTTACTCTAGATGGCATTAACTTGGCCTCTAGCACCACTGTCAGGAATCTTGGAGTTATCTTTGATCAGGATTTGTCATTTAACTCCCACATAAAGCAGACCTCTAGGACTGCCTTCTTTCATTTACGTAATATTAGAAAAATTAGACACATACTATCACAGACAGATGCAGAAAACTAATCCATGCATTTGTTACTTCAAGGCTGGATTACTGCAACTCTTTATTATCAGGTTGCCCCAATAAGTCCATTAAACGCTCCAATTAATTCAGACGCTGCAGACGAGTACTGACAGGAACTAGAAAAGAGATCACATCTCCTGTACTAGCTACTCTGCATTGGCCCTATAAAATGTAGATTGAATTTAAAATACTCCTCCTCCTATAGCTCTTCATGGTCAGGCCCTTCATATCTTAAGGCTCATAGTCCCTATTACCCCACTAGACACTACGTCTCTGAATGCTGGGCTACTTGTGGTTCCTATAGTCTCTAAAAGTAGAACAGGAGCCAGAGCCTTCAGTTACCAGCTCCTCTCCTGTGGAACCAGTTCCAGTTGTGGTTCGGGAGGCAGACACCCTCACCACTTTCAGAGTAGGCTTAAGACATTCCTCTTTGATAAAGCTTATAGTTAGGGCTGGATCAGGTGGTCCTGAACCATCCCTTGGTTATGCTGCTATAGGCCTAGACTATCGGGGATTTCCATGGTGCACTGAGCTACCCTTCTCTCTTCTGCACTCATTCATGTCCCTTTAATGCATGTTACTAACTCCACTTCTTCCCGGGTTCTTGTGCTTCTCGTCTCGCGGGTTCTCATGGATCCTGGTGGGCCTCCTGCCATGGTCCTGCTTGACTGCCATTGCCAATACTGTTGTTGCTGTGCACCTGTCTGTCTGTCGTTCCCTCCTCTCTCTCCCCTCCCCTCTCCTCTCTCCCCCAACTGGTCGAGACAGACGACCACCCACCTAGGCCGGAGGATCTGTCCTGGTTTCTGCCTTTTAACAGGCAGTTTTTCCTTGCCCTTGTCGCCAAGTGCTTGCTCATGGTGGTACTGTTGGGTCTCTGTAATTAATGTTAAAGAGTTGGTCTAGACCTGCTCTATTTGAAAGTGTCCTGAGATAACTTCTGTTATGAATTGGCGTATACAAATAAAATTGAATTGAATTGAATTGAATTGAATTGCTTTACCAATATGCCACACTAATGTTAAAATATCTTCATTTGTTTTTCCAAGCAAATATTGACATGTGATTATTTGCTCTTAAATCAGCAGATATTTCTGCCTCCCCATGAATATTTATCGAGATCTGCCCCTGATTAGAAAAACTGTTCACAACATTATCTTGCGCTTTATGAAATTGTGTCATTTGCATTATTTTCAGACATTTCAAAGTCTCAATGTTCAGACATTGAAGACTATATATCATTAGTTGCAGCCCTTCGAGGGTGTAACCACACATTCTTTGGCAAGGATGTGAGAAGATATTAATAATGTTTAATTATTTATCCAGGTCCATAATTCAGTGTGGCTCATTTAATTTAATCTGTAAAGTTCAGCATTAATTCTATTCTAATCACAATATTTACTAATTTTAGGTATAAAATCTTTCCCCTAATGGAAACTATTCTTTCTCTTTATTTGCTACTCCTGCAAAATGCATACTTCTAATTGGTAGGTGTGTGTTTACAGTCAGTAAACAGTAAACAACTGACCAAAACAAAATGAAGTGAACAATAAATGTGAATTCAAATGTGAATATAGTCATTAAAAATCTTTGTGGGAAATATAAAAATCTGATGGCTCTCATTTGGACCCAATTAATGTCTATGAGTAAATAACATTTATTTATATAGCACTTCTCACAGACACGAGTCACAAAGGGCTTTGCAGAGACAACAACAGAGGCACAATAACAATAAAAAGGCAATAACAACAAAGGGAGGAACAGTAAGAAATAGAATAAAGCAACAAATACGCATAAAAACACAAATAAAACAATAAAACCCAAACACCTGTCTAAACAACTGTGTCTTCAGGTCCACCTGTACAACACAACACAAACTCCAACAGGCACAGTTGTTGTTGTTGTTGTTGTTGTTGTTTACGACACTGGTCACTTTACAGGTTGTTAAATATCTGCTGATACCTGATGAAGGTGATGAAGACCTGCAGCCTTTAACAGCAGCTAGCAGACACTCAATGTATTCAAACACACATCTAATGTCAGACAGTCGTTACCTTTATAATAACAGCTGCTCCATCACTGCTGCGTTCAGCCCGACACAGGTCCAAACTGCTGCCTCGGTTTAATGGCGGACTGCAGACCAGCGGTAAAGGTGCACAACGCCACCTACTGCATCGGAGTGTGTAACCTCAGGTATTGGGATGACCTTCTGTGAATTAAACCTGTTTTATTTAAGCATTTGATTAACAGCTTCTTTCTTCTGAGGGTTTTTAATGGAGGTTGGCAAAAACAAAACAATAAAGAAACTAAATTCTCTCTATTATTCCTGTTATTTTTATATAGTTAATTAAAACATTGTGTACTTATGTGTCTATTTATATAGTTAATTAAAACATTGTGTATTTATGTGTCTATTTATATAGTTAATTAAAACATTGTGTACTTATGTGTCTATTCTCAGACGGCTGAAAGTAAAAGCTCCGAGTTAACAAGTCAAAATAAGAGTTATTACTATGAGTGAGTATATAATGAAATTAAATATATAATACTGTGTATCCGTGTTGGGCAGTAACTCAGTACTAGTAATACTAGTAATACTTTAAACAGTGACTAGTATTGTAACTAATTACTAATAGACCCCCCCCCCCTAAAAAATATTAGTTATAATATTGCTTTTGCTGTCATCCCCTAATAGTTTGAAATCCAACAATCAAATCCTTGGATTAATTTTGTAATCTGGAGGAAACTACCTTGGAGGATGGAAACAATTATATTCAGCAACTGGAAATATTTTCATTAATTTGATTTTAACAAATAAAACTGGATTTTAATCGTCATAAATCTAAATTTTGGGGAGAAAGGACACACTTGCCAATTTTGTGGGGAGTAGCAGAAAAGTTACATAACTAGTAGTGTAATTTATTACTGTTGGCAGGGAGTAATAAGTAAAATAATATTACTTTGAAAAGAGTAATTTAATTATAAAAGTAATTATATACATATAAATTCATTTTATGTGTAATTACAGAAATAATCTATGCAACTCTATTGAAGTGCCTTACCATGGCTGCAACTAACATAGTTCATAACTGATTAATCTGCCAATTTAGTTTCTTTTAATGACATTAAAATAAAATACAAATAAAATGCCCCACACACACACACACACACACACACACACACACACACACACACAGTTTCCCAGAATCCAAGGAGATTTATTTTGTAGGACCTACAGTTCAAACCCCCAAATATTTAATGATAAAGCCTAAAACAGAGAAAAGCAGAAAAAGAAGTTGTAAAAAGGTTATTGTTTTGGTTATAATTGTTAAAAACTAAAACGTGTCCTCAGACAGACAGACAGACAGACAGACAGACAGACAGACAGACAGACAGCTCCACTGTATATGGCTGTAGACGGAGACACGTGTAGTACCCGCCTCCTGCCACCTGGGGGCGCCCGCGGCCGCCTGTCACTCAAACACAGACACGGAAACTAATTTGTTTATCAGCGGCTACATCCGGTCGGTCGCAGCTCCTCAGTGTGCTCTTCCCGCTACAAACGGCCTTTATTCTGTCTGCAGACGGTTCTGTGGCATTAGATCAACTCTGCGGCACACACCGCTCGGGCCGTTAGGGACACTTTTACTTTGAAAGGTCTGTGTGGAAGAACCGGGTCGGGTTCTGGCGGGCCGTTAGCCGTTAGCCGTTAGCCGTTAGCCCGCTGCCCTGCGATGACCACCGACAGAGTTCTTCTTCTCCTCCTCCTTTCTCTGTCTGGTTCTGGTTCTGGTTCTGGTTCTGATTGTTGACTACAACCGGAGCCGCTCCGCTCAGCATGAGTGAAAACACCGAGACCAACGCGGGAAACGAAGAGGACGCCGGTTCGGAGCCCAACGAGCACGACTACGCGCACAGCGCGGAGGACTCTCTCCCCGGTGCTCCGGCGGCGGACGGCGGACTCACCGCGCCGGAGAGTGCAGCGGCTGGACCCGAGCAGAGCGCACCGGGGCGGCCTACTTTATCGGTGGAGCTTCCCGAACCGGCGGTGGGCGCGGAGGTGGACTGCCCCGGAGGACACGATGTGGAAGCGGCCTCCTTCCCGCCACCGCAGACCGACGTTCACCCTCACGCAGGTCCCGCAGATGTGCCGCAGGGCTGCCGCAGGCGCGGACCCCGGCGACCGGAGGACCGCAGCTGCTCCTGCTGCAGGTGCGAGTTCGAGCGCCAGGGCCGGAGCTTCAACCGGAGGGCGGTGTACACCTTCACCACCCCGGAGACCGTGCAGTGGGCCTTCCCGGACGCCGTAGTGCACGACAGGTCGTTCCTGTGTGAGACCTGTGCGCAGGTCATCAGGAGCAAAGGGAAACGCAAACAGAGCGGGAAGCGGTCCCTGTGGCTGAAACCACCTGTGCTGAAAAAGGTGTGTGATCGATGCTGTCGCGATTTATTGATTAGTGGTGTAAGAATATATATATATGTTTAAAGGGTCAGTGTAGTTGCTGTTTTGAAAATAAAAACAATCATATTTTATTTGTTTATAAATGTTAATCGGTTTGTTTTTGTCATTTCTAAATTAAAATCCATTTGTCACAAAGTGAACTGACTTTAAACGTAAACTGGGCTTTAATGTTAAATGTTACTTTTTCCACTGTTCTTCGGTTTGTTATTGTTTTTACATTGCAGTATACTGCCTTGCTTACAGGATCACAATATATTGATCGATGTATCATATCTCCACATTATTGCCAATACAAAGCCCTTTTATTGATAACAGCGGTATCAGTTCAAGATTCTGTCATATTAGCCTCAGATTGTTTGTCCACTGTCTCTAAGTGTCAGACATTTAACAACACTTGAACCTGTTTTAAGTTTTTCCAGAATATAAGAAGAGATTATTTTCATTATCGATTAATCCAGAGATCTGCAGATACAAAGTACTGATCCAATACATGTGTTAAAGAATAGACAGTAGATAATATAAGACTAATCCTGTATTGATAGTTGGTTTATGACCTGGCTCAAGTTAAAGCTGCAGTCGGTAGCTTTTATTATAAAACGAGGAGGAACCAGATTGTCTCACTGTCAGGATGTAGTGAAAGTGGGATGATTTCACTCTCCAGGGTGAACAGAATACTGCTGGGAAGTATCACGGTCGTGTTGAGGAGTTAATAAACAACGAGGTAATGGATCAGTGGGAATTTAAACCACAGGCATCAGAACAAACTCCACTTGGAGGAAGAAATGTTGATGTTTTCTGTTTGTTTTGGTGTTTGTGGCTGCAGTCAGAGGTGAGAGACAGGAAGAAGAAAGGTCGCAGGATGGGGAAGAAGAGCAAAGCGGCGCTGCTGGTGAGCAAGTCCTGCTACAAGTCCGCTCTCAAAACGCTCTGGTCGGCCAAAGGCGCCCGGAAGCCTATGATGGACTTCTGGAGCAAACAACTGAAAGAGGAGGTGAGGATCTCCTCCTGGTGGATACACCTGTCGATCCGGAGACATATCCGGAGTTAAGTTTTTATAACCAGCTTTGTTTTGTCGTTATTATGTAATCGTGTTATGATGTGTGTCCTGGTGGTCGTGCAGATGAAGGCGCTGACGCGGCAGACTGACAACCCCTTTCATCAGAAGGTGTCCCACAAGAAACCGCTGTCGTCCTTCCCCTGGCGGCGCTGTCTGAACTGGGCTCAGGACAAAGCTCCCCTCGTCACCACCTGCCTCACCTCGCTGTTCCCAGACATCAACACCCTCTCGAAGAGCAGCCAGTAAGTCTGAGAGCCGGATAACCCGACACTCGGTTCACACGGTCCACAGAGCTTCAACGCTGCTGCTGCTGCTGATGGTTCAGTTCGGTTTTTAAAATGAGCTCATCGTGGGTCTAAATCTGACCAGATGCTGATGATTAACTGTTCTGTGTGTTTGTGTAGCAGCCAGATGACGGAGGAGCAGGCCCAGACGCTGCTGGAGCGCCGTACCGTGGTGGCGCTCTCCATCCCGCTTTTCACCAGGAACATCTGGAAGAACAACTTCCTGCAGGCCTCCCTCGGGGCAGAGCTCCGCCTGCAGGGCTGCTCTGGCTCTGCTCTCGACGCTCTCAACACTATGGGACTGTGTCAGAACAAAGACACCGTCAGGTTACTGCTGCAACGGCTCCGAAATGGCAAGAAGGCTGTGAGTATCATGATCTGTAGTGCAGAGCTCAAAACTTGTTACAGAAACATTGTCTGCAGACGGAAACTAATGTCAGATAACAGACGTATAACTGAGAACTTAAACATACAAGTTAACATATAGTAAGTGTTATAGATATTTAGTATATATATTTTAGAGTTTTTACCTCTTTGATCTCAGTCGGTAAATTTTATCCACCTGATACAAACCGTATCCAAACAAAGAGGTTTAATGTCTTAACTTTGTGCTGTTTTCCTGTCAGCCAACACAGAACGGACGGAGGATGAAGATGAAACAAGAGCAGATGAAAGGAGAGCAGATGACAGACATGGAAGAAGAGGAAGAAGAGGAGGAGGAGGAGGAGGAAGAAGAAGAAGAAGCAGAGGAGGAGGAAGAAGAAGATGAGGAGGAGGAGGAAGATGAGGAGGAAGAAGATGAGGACGACGAGGAGGAGGAGGAAGAAGAGGAGGAAATTCAGGTTGAGCTGGCAGAGGTTGTAGAGGAAGAAGTGCAGGACGGGGTGCAAGAGGAAGAAGAGGAGGATCAAACAGTGGAGGAAAAGAAGAGGAGGAAGAAGAAGGCGAAGAAGCAGAGGAAGGAGGAGAAGAGGAAGGAGAGAGGGAAACGAAAGGTGAAGGAGAGACAGGGAGGAGGAGGAGGAGGATGATGATGATGAAGGGTCGCAGGAGAAGAAGAGGAGGGTGGTGGTGGTGAGGCTCGGCCTGTTGAAGGGACACTCAGAGGTCGGACGCTCCGACCTATCGGCTCCCTGAGACTCTGTTGGCTCCGCCCAATAACTCAACAGGCCCCCACCTCCAATCAGAGAGCAGGACAGAGGTCCCGCCCTACTCATCTGAGGGGGGGGTTTGAAAGGCATTCTGGGAATTGTAGGAGGTCAGTTACTGTGGAGGGAAACTTATGAGAGCTTTACTATACATTTACGTTTTTGTGATGTTTAAAAAAAATAATCAGTTTGAACCCAGAAAAGCCTCCGAAACACAAACTGAGACTAACAATAAAACAGCCACAGCTGATTAATCACATGATTATCTGCATCGTTTTTACCTCTGATGGTCGTGTGTCTCAGGTTAGCCGGTCTTTTGTTTCTGCTTCCATATACGATGGTAGCGGCTTCCGAAATACATATTTTGGTAACATTCAGTTTTACAGGTTTCATAGTTCCCTGGTTATTTACCACAAAGGAACCGATGAGTAATTTCATACCTGAGAAAAGCTTCTGGACAGAACTATGTAATTTGGTACTAACTGTAGGAGCGTGTGAGTTTTTAGGTCCACGTTGGGGAGAAAAAGACACAATTTAACATTAAAAAAAGTCAATAAAATGAGGATGAAGCTCCAATTGAAGGTGGATAAATGTTAATGATGGACTTTAATTTTCTTCATCTCTCCCTGTTACAGCAATACATTTTTTTTAGTTTCTAAACTCCACTTAAACTATCTTATTAAGAGGCTACTGGATCATCTCCTGGTTTCCTTTCTGGAAACCTTGCATTGACTATGAACTCTCAGAATATTTCCGTATAGTTAGTACCAAATTACCTGCAGTAGTATTTATTTTTTTACACAAGACTTTGACCTTTGGCCTTCAGAAGGAAAAAAACACAACTCAATTTGGGGTAACGGCGCACATAGGAACGTAAGTTACAGATAAGGGACCAGCATCAGGAAGTCTGTTCAGTTGTTGATGTTTGTCCAGCTGCTGGATGAGGGAAGTTTTCAGGAGGCTTTATTTTCTAATCCTGATTAAGGCTTTGACATTCTCCATTAAAAGTGACTGCACTTGGTTCATCTCACACAAAACTAAAGTTTATGAACTCACAGGAACAGAAAGTGGTGGACTCACTGTGGATGTTGAGGATGTTTTTGTTTATAAACTGTTTGTTTTAAACGGTTTCTGTGAGCCAAGAGGTCGAGAAAACCACCTGGAATTTATTGCTTGTTTTGTTTTTGTTTGTTTATTGGCCGTAGGGAACCCAACAGAATGCAATCGTGGCTTCGGTATGCCTGTTTGAAGCGTGCTAAGGCCTTTATACTGTGTTCGCATCATCCAACATGAAGCATGAGCACTGAAGTCAAGTCAGAAATCTAAGTTAAATTTAGTTTTCTTAGAATTCAGGCAACTCCAGGATAAAGAAAACTACAGAACAGAAAAATGTTTTTCCCCCTTTCCAATGCTTTGTTTTATTATCCGTAACAGTTTCCTGGTAATTTCAAGAACGGATTATGTAACTTGGTACTAATTATATTGAAAACGGAGACACTGTTCAGTTGGTGCACTCGTGTAGCTCAGCATTTTAGTCAAAGCACAAAAAATATGTAAAATATTTCTACAGATGTATGAATAATATTCATTTCTTTCCTGTAATTAGAACCAGATCACTTTGTTCTTTCCAGGAAATTATTAGGAAACTACGGACCCATAAAATAAAGTGTTTAAATGATCCTGTTCTCACTGAATGATTCCACCGTTGGTAAAAACTTGGCTGAACGTTTCCGAACCAGGAGGCGCTGTAATATAGTTTGATTTGTAACGAGGGCTTTTTGTTTTCTTTTCTTTGAGTTTCTCAAAACGTCTTCAGAAACTGTTATAATTTTACTTGTTTAAGGACTGAAACAGAAACAGATGTGTCTTCTGACTGTTGCTCTCAGATCTGATGTTCTGATGCAGACCATCAGATCTGGATCCTGTAAAGGTTTGCCAATAAAAAAAGTTAATGGCTTCACCTGATTTTCAACGTTCTCTCTGTCAGCTCCCGTCAGGTTTATCCTGGTTTTTATTTCACTCTACAAGTTATTTTGTTTAATCGCCTGTATGGAAAACAAATTAGTTTTGTTTCTTCAGTGTAAATCTCACCGGGGGAACTACAAACATGATGCAGCAGTTTGCATGTGTGTTTATTGCCCCGCCGGGATGAAACTGACATTTAAATCCAGTTTCTGTAAAAACTGGGGCCAGCTGTCCAGAAAACCCAACACAGTCTGTGGAAATACTGAATTTAAATGTTGGTTTCACAAAAAAAACACACCACAACCTCTGAGATCATGATCATCTCTAAAGATGCAGACTGCCTCTAGGACCCAACCGATCTGAGAGTTTAACCTCCTGAGAAGAGGAAGTGAACCAGATGGATTCCTGAATCATTAGACTAAAGAATAAAAACCAACGTGTTCAGAACGGGTGTGAAAGAATGAAGCAGCATGAAGGGCTGAAAGTTTTTTTTTTAATTTCTGTAACAGAGTCATTTACAGCCACAAAAACATCCACAGAGCTGCTGCAGCTACAATAAATATTCCCGACCACACTCCAGCTGTCAGATGGTTCATTCTTCTTCACTGCTGGTTCTTTAGAGACGAACCAGAGTCAGTGAAGAATAAAGTTAATAGACTGAATCTAATAGTTTTGGTGGTTAGAAATATCTGCGAGTTCCATAACAACAAAAACTACTGAGAGGAAAAAATATGTTTAAATTCGAAATCAGATGTTTTGTCAGATTTCAGTGCGAGTAGTTTCAATACTTAGTTCTCAGTTACTGCCAAATAAAGATTTCCAAAATACTAGACGGGCACTCCAGACCTCCGCCAAGGTGTTTTGTTTCTAAAGTGATATTTGAGATGTGTTGTTGTTTAGTCACTGCATAACTGCTGACAAACAAATAAACAACACCAAAAACATGACCTCATTGGTGGAGGTAACAACAGTCTAAAGTTTTCTAACTTTCTAACCAGCTCTCAGACATTTTTTTGTGTTCACTCAGTAGTTTTGTTGTTACTAAACATCCTTAGAAGCACAGAAAACCCTACAGGAGAGAGCAACTTTTATTTTGAAGGGAAGGAAAGTGGAGAAAGCAGCCAGAGCCACACACAGAGTTCGGTCAAGTTTGTGACTTAACAGAGGCAAACAGTGAGTTGACTGAACCCTGTGTGCCCACCGCTCTGGGTGTAGATAAACAGTTGTGCGCTTTATCGACCAACATCTGGCTGGAACATTAATCTGGAGCGTTTTTATATTTCTAAAAGGATCAATTTGGCTGTATTTACACAAGTGTTTTTACCAGACGACGACCGCCTGCGTGAACGAGACGAAGAGGATTCAGGTGGGTTTGTCCTGTGCGTGCGTCTCAGACATTGAGGGTCTTTTTCACAGAGAAGATGACGTCTTTAATCTGCGGCACGCTGTTGTCCTCCAGGATTTTGGCATACGGCATGGGAATGTCGACGCCCGTCACCCTGGTGACCGGAGCGTCCAGGTAGTTGAAGGCAGGACCTGAAAACAAACACAGGAGGTTTAAAATATTATGTTAGTGCTCACTGCACATTTATTAATCACCACTCTCTGATCTACAGTGGATCCGTTTATGCAGCAGTAGCTCTTCAACCCTGCTACATCTGTTGTTTTAATGTGTATTTTTTCCGGCTTGAAAGGACGGCAGACCTTCCTTTTGTTGGACAACCTTGTGTTGTATAATGATGAAAACATTTTCCTGATCCTTGAAACAGCAGGTGCACTTGAAGACGCCCACAACCTACTGCTTTGTCTCCTTCCTTCATATCCTGAAACTATTCAACTCACAGTTTGTTCTCCAGCAATGATACCCCTTCCTCGTGCACACAAGGTGCTAAATACTATGCAATCCTTTGGCTCTTTCTACAAATATCCTCTCATGTCTGGGATATTTAACTATTGGTCTGAATGAGAAGAAGCTATCACATGCTCTGAAAGGGGCTTTGACGCAGCCACTCAGCTGTTACCTTCCATGATCCTGGCGCAGATCTCAGCTCCAACCCCATACTGAGGCCAGCCGCCCTCCACCGTCACCAGGTGGTTGGTCTTCATCACGCTGGTCTCAATACTCTCCACATCCAGAGGACGGATGGTCCGCAGGTTGATCACCTGACACAAAGACAGACAGGAAGGGGTTAACGGGCTGCCGAGCACGAGTCGTCTGTGTCGCATAACAACAGGTTCCTTTCTTTTACCTCGCACTCGATCCCCTCCTTGGCGAGGACGGCAGCGGCATCCAGGCAGTGACTGACGTACCGAGAGTGAGTGACCAGAGTGATGTGATTCCCTGCAACACAGGAAGGACGAGAGGAGAGAGGTTCAGGATCCCAACAGTGACAGACCTCTGAATCTACCTTTGTGTAGAAAACGTGCTTTATAAATACAACTGCCTCATTATACTGATCTGAAACAGTCTCACCTTGTCTCTCAACCTTGGCCTTGCCGATGGGAATAGTGAAGTCTTTAGACTGGGACTCCTCAGACATCTCGAAGGGAACACCATACATCAGCTCATTCTCCAGGAACACCACTGCACACACACACACACACACACACACACACACACACACACACACACACACACACACAGAAGCAGAGAGTTAAAACAGTGACATTTTAATGGGTGGATTCAAGTATTAATGCATCCAAGAAGCATTCAAGACCACTTGCTCAAACCTCAGGAGGTGGCTTTAGATACCTTGTAGCCAGAAGCTGAAAAGGTGTAAATACATCAGTCTCTCTGTGATGGATGTGTAAGCTTGTGTGTCTCTTTCTCTAACTCTAAGGTCAGCTTTGACCTGCCGTAGTGGAGTTTCTCACCGGGATTGTCGTCTCTGATGGCTGATTTCAGGAGACCTTTGGCATCTTCTGCGCTCCAGGGACTCACAACCTTCAGACCTGGACAGTGACCGTACCTGAGGACAGACAACAACTGTCACACCAACAGCACCTGCTGTTACAACTACTACTTCCACCATTAAAAGAGAACTCCTGGGGTCCCGATACCTCACCTGGTAGATCATGTATGTACTAAGGCTGAGTGCTTACCCCTGCCTTTAGCTGCATGCTGTCTGCCCCCTCTCTCTCTCTCCCTCCTTTCTTGTCTCTCTTAGCCTGTCACTATTCATTATCCATTATTCAAGAAATAAAATGCTCTAAAAATAATAAAATGATGGTTCTAATACAGCTACTATAGAGACCTTTTTACACATTGAGAGCTACAGTAAATGACAGAGACAGTTATCAGGCGGAAGTGAACGCACCACGCAGCGAAGCACTGTGAATGCTGTGCGGCGACGCCCGCTGACGCCCCGTTGGGTCCTCTGAAGACGATGGGCACCGACTGCTGACCGGCTGACATGTAGTAGGTCTTTGCTGCAGAGTTGATGACCTGGTCGATGGCTTGCATGGAGAAGTTGAAGGTCATGAACTCACAGATGGGTCTCAGGCCGGCCTGCGGGGGGGGGACAGCAGTTTAAGATCAGTGTCCACAGGAGTCAGTTCAGTTCTCTTTATTATCCCAAATAGGAAACTTGACAGTAAACCATAATAAAAAACAACAATGGAGAAAAGACAATATTTGATGATATTGATATTTTGATATTTGATGATCATTTCATGTGTAGTATTCTAAAGTAGGATTTTAAAATGACACATTAAGTCGGGATATTGCAAAAGAAATAAAGGAATTTTTCCTCCTATTGCACTTCAACCTTGGTACTATAAATCTACAGCCTGAGTGCAAATTATATCCAGTGCTATAGTGTGTAAAACACATTTAAAGGCTCTCAAAAACAACGTAAACCTCATTACATCCAAGCAACTAAATTAACTAGGACACTTTACCTAAATATAAAAACATTGCCAGAGCTTTTTTTTAAAGATATCTTTAAATTACAGTAGTGTTAATTACAAAGTTCCAATCACTGGATAATGATGTTAATGATGTTTAATGAATGTGTGAATCTATCTGGATGGGGGGAAAAAAATAGACTCACCATCGCGGCTCCAACTGCGATGCCGGCAAAACCCATCTGCACCAGAGAGAGAGAGAGAGAGAGAGAGAGAGAGAGAGAGAGAGAGAGAGAGGTTAACAGAGAGTTAATAGAAAGAGGGTTTTGAAGCGTTTGTGAAGGCTGACTGTTAGAGTGTCTCACCTCTGTGATCGGAGTGTCGATGATGCGTTTATCTCCGTACTTCTTCCACAGACCCCTGCTCACCTACACACACACACACACACACACACACACACACACACACACACACAGTTAGCATCTCAGCATAAAGATTAAATAAGTCCTGCTGTGTTCACTGTGAGTGTCTACTCACCTTGTAGGCTCCGTCGTACTGAGCCACCTCCTCACCCAACAGGAACACACGCTCGTCCCTCTCCAGCTCCTCGTCCATCGCCTGGTTCAGGGCATCACGGACCGTCACCTGACACAAACAACAGCACCGCCGTCAGTACAGACCGACACACTGACACCCAGAGGACAGAGTTTGTCATAAGTGCTCTCAATGCAGCAGAGCGTCGGCCGTTCAACATCCAGCATTCACATTTCTTCAGATATTGGCGTCTCTAGCTGTGATTAGTTGACTGTGTCGATATTTAATTGAGAGATTAAACAATAATTCAAATAACTGTAAGTTGCAGTCACATTAAAGTTATTAAATTATTAACCTGGGAACTGTTTTTTGTAGTTAGTGACCTAATATGGGAGTAACTGACTCTATAAACCCACCCTGAATGTATGTGTTACATTAATGCACTTTCCTCTTTTCTTTGCACATTTCAAATATCATCCTGTGTCTCACTGCCAACTATTACTGTCTCTCTTTTTATATTTGTATATACTGCCCCTAATCTTTAATTTTAAATGTTTAATCGTTATGCACCAACTTACAAAAAGGCAAATTCCTCGTATGTGAAACCTATTTGGCAATAAACCTGATCCTAAAAAGATTCATATTAATATTTTTAATATTAATTACAGAACAAGATATACACAATATATTAAAGTTAATATTTATCCATGTTTATATTGTCTGCTGTCACTATAAGCAACCATCAACAGTCTATAACATTACAGTTATTTACTCTAATAATGTGCAACAATCTGCTTCTGTCACTAATATTCAGCCATTATTACTATTTATTGATTATTCATTACACTTCTGTCATAAACTGTAGCACACATACATACATATACATCTTCTTACATTTCCTATATATAAATATATTAACACTTTATTCATCCAGAGGGAAATTCAAGCTTCCAGTAGAATACAAAATACATTAAACTAACATTAAACAAACATTAAACAAACATTAAACATACATTAAACAAACATTAAACATACATTAAACAAACATTAAACAAACATTAAACATCCCTAACCTTCAGAATAGAATTAGAGGATGAAATATAAAGTATAATGTGTGTTTATGTGCAGGAACAGCTGCTGTTTGTTGAGTAATAACAATAAAAACACAACAACCCTCAGCAGCAGCAGTAGCCACCGTTAGCATGCTAGCTGCTCACACTGACCTGCACGGCGACCGGAAGCGTCCTGTGAAACTCCCGCCGCTGCAGAGCCGACACTGCATTCTGTAGGAAAGACATTGAGACAACATTAGATGTTATTAATGATCAACAGACGCAGATTTACGCCTCAAAACACTGATTTCATACCTTTCCTGTGCGGAGAAAGCACCTCAGGGACGACGCCATGTTTAACCTGTCCTCTCCTCTGCCGGAGGGGGCGGGGCGTCCGCCGGAGGTCAGCAGGTTTCAACCAATCACAGCTGCAGGTTACCAGCCGGTCAGAACGCGTCATGACTGAGAGCCAATCACAGCGGCTCAGCGGAGATGGAGGCGGGACAAAACTCAAGGGTGGAAAAAAGAAAAAGGAAAGCCAAGGACACGGTGCTGCTGTCCGGAGGTACGGAGGACAAAGTGTGCCACGGTAAAACAAATAGGTATGGAGCCATTACCGAGGCAAAACTAATTACACATGTGCTTGGAGAGTTGTGTAACTGTATCTCAATCCGTGTGTGCGTAATCAATAATCTGTAAATGTGTAAAAAAATCTGTCAATGTGTAAAATAATCTGTCATGTGTGTTCGACTTTGTCTTTGATTTAAAATGTAATAAGATTTGTAAAAATTATTTGTAGATGTGTAAAAAATCTGTATATAGATCTGATAATGTGTAAACAAATCTGTAAATGTGTAAACAAATCTGTAAATGTGTAAACAAATCTGTAAATGTGTAAATAAATCTGTAAATGTGTAAACAAATCTGTAAATGTGTAGACAAATCTGTAAATGTGTAGACAAATCTGTAAATGTGTAAACAAATCTGTAAATGTGTAGACAAATCTGTAAATGTGTATATAGATCTGTAAATGTGTGTTCGACTTTTTAATTTGAATGTAATAAGATTTGTAAAATTAATTTGTAAATGTGTAAAAAATCTGTATATAGATCTGATAATGTGTAAACAAATCTGTAAATGTGTAAACAAATCTGTAAATGTGTAAACAAATCTATAAATGTGTATATAGATCTGATAATGTGTAAACAAATCTGTCAATGTGTATATAGATCTCTAAATGTGTAAACAAATCTGTCAATTTGTATATAGATCTCTAAATGTGTAAACAAATCTGTCAATGTGTATATAGATCTCTAAATGTGTAAACAAATCTGTCAATGTGTATATAGATCTGTAAATGTGTATATAGATCTGTAAATGTGTATATAGATCTGCAGATGTGTAAACAAATCTGTAAATGTGTATATAGATCTGTAAATGTGTAAACAAATCTGTAAATGTGTAGACAAATCTGTAAATGTGTATATAGATCTGATAATGTGTAAACAAATCTGTAAATGTATAAACAAATCTGTAAATGTGTATATAGATCTGATAATGTGTAAACAAATCTGTAAATGTGTATATAGATCTGTGAATGTGTATATAGATCTGATAATGTGTAAACAAATCTGTAAATGTGTATATAGATCTGTAAATGTGTATATAGATCTGTAAATGTGTAAACAAATCTATAAATGTGTATATAGATCTGATAACGTGTAAACAAATCTGTAAATGTGTAAACAAATCTATAAATGTGTATATAGATCTGATAACGTGTAAACAAATCTGTAAATGTGTATATAGATCTGTAAATGTGTAAAATAATCTGTAAATGTGTATATAGATCTGTAAATGTGTAGACAAATCTATAAATGTGTAAACAAATCTGTAAATGTGTGTTCAGACTTTCTCTTTAATTTAAAATGTAGCAAGATTTGTAAAATTAATTTGTAAATGTGTAAAAAATCTGTATATAGATCTGATAATGTGTAAACAAATCTGTAAATGTGTATATAAATCTGTAAATGTGTATATAGATCTGATAATGTGTAAACAAATCTGTAAATGTGTAGACAAATCTGTAAATGTGTATATAGATCTGTAAATGTGTATATAGATCTGTAAATGTGTATATAGATCTGTAGATGTGTAAACAAATCTGTAAATGTGTATATAGATCTGTAAATGTGTAAACAAATCTGTAAATGTGTATATAGATCTGATAATGTGTAAACAAATCTGTCAATGTGTATATAGATCTGTGAATGTGTATATAGATCTGATAATGTGTAAACAAATCTGTAAATGTGTAGACAAATCTGTAAATGTGTATATAGATCTGTAAATGTGTATATAGATCTGTAAATGTGTAAACAAATCTATAAATGTGTATATAGATCTGATAACGTGTAAACAAATCTGTAAATGTGTAAAAAAATCTATAAATGTGTATATAGATCTGATAACGTGTAAACAAATCTGTAAATGTGTATATAGATCTGTAAATGTGTAAAATAATCTGTAAATGTGAATATAGATCTGTAAATGTGTAGACAAATCTATAAATGTGTAAACAATCTGTAATGTGTGTTCAGACTTTCTCTTTAATTTAAAATGTAGCAAGATTTGTAAAATTAATTTGTAAATGTGTAAAAAATCTGTATATAGATCTGATAATGTGTAAACAAATCTGTAAATGTGTATATAGATCTGTAAATGTGTATATAGATCTGATAATGTGTAAACAAATCTGTAAATGTGTAGACAAATCTGTAAATGTGTATATAGATCTGTAAATGTGTATATAGATCTGTAAATGTGTATATAGATCTGTAGATGTGTAAACAAATCTGTAAATGTGTATATAGATCTGTAAATGTGTAAACAAATCTGTAAATGTGTATATAGATCTGATAATGTGTAAACAAATCTGTCAATGTGTATATGATCTGTGAATGTGTATATAGATCTGATAATGTGTAAACAAATCTGTAAATGTGTAGACAAATTGTAAATGTGTATATAGATCTGTAAATGTGTATATAGATCTGTAAATGTGTAAACAAATCTATAAATGTGTATATAGATCTGATAACGTGTAAACAAATCTGTAAATGTGTAAAAATCTATAAATGTGTATATAGATCTGATAACGTGTAAACAAATCTGTAAATGTGTATATAGATCTGTAGATGTGTAAAATAATCTGTAAATGTGTAAAATAATCTGTCAATGTGTAGACAAATCTGTAAATGTGTAAACAAATCTGTAAATGTGTAAAATAATCTGTCAATGTGTGTTCAGACTTTCTCTTTAATTTAAAATGTAACAAGATTTGTAAAATTAATTTGTAAATGTGTAAAAAAATCTGTATATAGATCTGATAATGTGTAAACAAATCTGTAAATGTGTATATAGATCTGTAAATGTGTATATAGATCTGATAATGTGTAAACAAATCTGTAAATGTGTAGACAAATCTGTAAATGTGTATATAGATCTGTAAATGTGTATATAGATCTGTAGATGTGTAAACAAATCTGTAAATGTGTATATAGATCTGTAAATGTGTAAACAAATCTATAAATGTGTATATAGATCTGATAACGTGTAAACAAATCTGTAAATGTGTAAAAAAATCTATAAATGTGTATATAGATCTGATAACGTGTAAACAAATCTGTAAATGTGTATATAGATCTGTAAATGTGTAAACAAATCTGTAAATGTGTAAAATAATCTGTCAATGTGTGTTCAGACTTTCTCTTTAATTTAAAATGTAACAAGATTTGTAAAATTAATTTGTAAATGTGTAAAAAATCTGTATATAGATCTGATAATGTGTAAACAAATCTGTAAATGTGTATATAGATCTGTAAATGTGTATATAGATCTGATAATGTGTAAACAAATCTGTAAATGTGTAGACAAATCTGTAAATGTGTATATAGATCTGTAAATGTGTAAACAAATCTGTAAATGTGTATATAGATCTGTAAATGTGTAAACAAATCTGTAAATGTGTAAACAAATCTATAAATGTGTATATAGATCTGATAATGTGTAAACAAATCTGTCAATGTGTATATAGATCTCTAAATGTGTAAAATAATATGTCAATGTGTATATAGATCTGTGAATGTGTATATAGATCTGTAAATGTGTAAACAAATCTGTAAATGTGTATATAGATCTGTAAATGTGTATATAGATCTGATAATGTGTAAACAAATCTGTAAATGTGTAGAAAAATCTGTAAATGTGTATATAGATCTGTAAATGTGTATATAGATCTGTAAATGTGTAAACAAATCTGTAAATGTGTAACAAATCTTAATGTGTATATAGATCTGATAATGTGTAAACAAATCTGTCAATGTGTATATAGATCTCTAAATGTGTAATAATATGTCATGTGTATATAGATCTGTGAATGTGTATATAGATCTGTAAATGTGTACAAATCTGTAAATGTGTATATAGATCTGTAAATGTGTATATAGATCTGATATGTGTAAACAAATCTGTAAATGTGTGAAATCTGTAAATGTGTTATAGATCTGTAATGTGTATATAGATCTGTAAATGTGTAAACAAATCTGTAAATGTGTAAACAAATCTGTAAATGTGTATATAGATCTGTAAATGTGTAAACAAATCTGTAAATGTGTATATAGATCTGTAAATGTGCAGACAAATCTATAAATGCTTATATAGATCTGTAAATGTGTAAACAAATCTGTAAATGTGTATATAGATCTGTAAATGTGTAAACAAATCTATAAATGTGTATATAGATCTGTAAATGTGCAGACAAATCTGTAAATGTGTATATAGATCTGTAAATGTGTATATAGATCTGTAAATGTGCAGACAAATCTGTAAATGTGTATATAGATCTGTAAATGTGTAAACAAATCTGTAAATGTGTATATAAATCTGTAAATGTGCAGATACACATTTTTTTTCAGTATTTGCTCCAACAGCTGGAAATAGTTTTGCTACAATAATGGCTCCATAAAAATGGAGGAAATGTTAGAAATAGAGAGCTTCAGGAATCTATACATCTACATTATATTACTCAGGCATGAGGAGTGACGTAATCAGGTGACAATAAAACGTAACTGTTTCCATTTTCTTTCCAAAGGTTACATTGTTCTGTTGTCTTATAAAATACACTTGCATCAATACTTCTTATTCACATTTCTTTTTCTCTCGTTTTTATTTACATATTTGGTGTTGAGGTAACCCACAAGTAACGGAAAGTAATCGAGTTATTTTACTTTGTGACAGTTTACTTTTCAATGCTTGGATTAGGCTGCTGACTTATTTAACCGGTAATTAGCGATTATATCGGAATACATTTTTAAAGTTACCCTCCCAACCCTGGCATTACCTCTGATGAAGAGATATTAGTCTGAACTGTGACCCTACATTAAACATAAATAATGCTATGGATGATGTGACGTGGAACAGGAAAGGAGCTGTTTTTTTACTGGCCTGGTTGATACACAGCATCACATTACACTGTGGTTTAGACAATTTTTGGTAATGCTCAAATGTAATTTTAGGATCAACAGATGATCCAGAAGGTGGCGGTAATGCACCTAAAATGTGTTTTCCAACAGCCATTAAACCAGAAGTTTCACACTGAAAGCCTATATCTCAGCATTTCATTCATTTCTGTGCAGAAAACTAAATTAAACTTTTTAAAGTTCAGATTATTATTTGAGATATAAACGGGATAAAGGCCTGGACACAAACTATATTCAGAGAGATAAACAGCCTCACTCTACATTAAAGTTCAAACAACCAAAGAGCTGATAGAAGAATGAGAAGAAAACATTGGACATGTCAAAAAAGAAGTTTGTATTATTGTTAAAAATGAAAAAAAAAAAACATCAGAAAACTAATCTCTGATCAACATTCAGAGGAAATAATCAGCTCAAAATTCATCCAAATTGCTCGTTTCACACAAACTTCCCGCAGTTATTGTGTTCACTGTTTGGGTTCATTGTACAGTTTTTCATTTCATGTATCATTTTTTTTCTGTTCTGTTATTGTTATACATTGACTATAATATAAAACATTTATAAAATATGTCAGAGGTCTTCAGTTTACTCAGTGATAGAAAAGGGGTCCCTTATATTGAAAAAGGTTGGGAACCAGTGCTTTACTCTGGCAAATCATCAGACGTGTCTCTTGAAAATGTTGAATTTAGGAGAAATATTTAGCAAAATCTGTATTCTTTACTTTCTCTCTCCGTTATATTTAAATCTGGAGGCCGCTCTATGATGATTGACAGGGCTAATGACAGCCAATCAGAATCAGAATCAGAATCAGAAGAATCAGAATTTATTGCCAGGTAGGTTTTTACACATACAAGGAATTTGTCTTGGGGCAATGGTGCATACAATATACAGTCACACAAAAATATACAAATCCCACAAAAATCCCACAATAAAGTAATAATTCAACAGAAGTGGGAACGAGATCAGCTGGAGTTGTTCCCCTGATGTTCATGAGCTCTTCTCTAGTGAAAGAGCTCCGGGTATCACAGCCGAAAACTGAATTAACACACAAAACAAGAAAAAACAATGCGCACCAACACACCGAGCGAGTGTTTGTGGCGCCACCTTGAGTATAATGTTGTTAATGTTGTTATACACAATCCAGGAGCCGGTTCAAGAACCAGAGCTACTTTGAGGTATTTCTTAGTTCTTGTATGGAGTCACGAATTACCACCATTGCATAATCCCCAACCCAGTCAGTCAGTTCTCACCTGGGGGTAAAAACCATTACTCACAACAAAGAAATGAACAAGTATTTCTTGTTAAGTTACATTCAAGAGCCTTTCACATATATTTGCATACAAGGATTCTAGTGCGTTCTGTAATTAGTGTTTTTCTTTTTTTAGACCCTCTGGTCTAAAAGTGGTTTAAGACCTCTCAGTATAATGCAGTCCTACATCCTCCTGGAAACCAAGGGAAATAAGTGTCATCCAATTTCTCTTTTGTTGTGATTTTCTAACCGTTTTAGGATTAAAAAAAGAATATTTCGTGTCCACCGTAGTGAACCACAGAACTGAACACAACAAGCTTCATAAAGGCCTGCTGTACTGTTAATTCATCATTTTGGGAAGATAAGAAAAGAAAAGATTCTTCCCAGTGGGGAAACATAATGATGAAGTTTAAAAAGATCCTGAGGGGTATATAAAACAGAAAAAAAGAAAATAATACAAAATAGAAACTAAACATGAACAAATATTTATATTTGGATTCATTTTCTTTTCAAGAGTTTAAGCCCAATTTACACATTTATTCCGTACAAAGACAGAAATATGAGAACAGTTTCTTCATGTTCATTGTGCTGTTGTTTTTTGGAATTTGTCCTAGATAATACCAAACCCAACACACATACTTCTGTAATGTGCTGAAGACGTGACAAATATGTGTGTGTGTGTGTGTGTGTGTGTGTGTGTGTGTGTGTGTGTGTGTGTGTGTGTGTGTTTCACAAATCAGTCACACAGTAGACAGGAGTCGAGGTTTAGGAAGAGCAGAGTTCTTCACACTGGGAGACAAAAGAGACACGGAGACATCAGCATCAAATTTCATCTGTCTGAGGGTAAGATTTCATCTCGTTTTCTGCACATCTTCAGCGTTCTTCTGCAGATCAGCCGAAGGAAAGCTTTAAACCAGAGACCTGAATTTGTAAAAGGACGACATACTTTGACAACATTTGTATTAAAACAAATTAGAATTCAAGTAGAAAAATGCACAGAGGGAAGCTGTAATTGTGTGTTAGCAGCAAATACTGCTCACAAACCAGACTGAGCGAGGTGAATGCAAAAAATATATGATTCTGCCTGATAAATAAATAAAGATTACATTTAACAATTTAATTCAATTAAAATTTGATGATCTCTGTGTTTAAAGGTGTTTAAACTCCACCGGTTTGACACATTAAGTTCAGTTTAATGGGGAATTCTGTGGAAATCTTTAGTTCAGTTCAGTTAATAATTTCTGTAATCAGCTGATTATTTGGCACTTGATGTGTGTGTGTGATGTTTTTTAATGAGAGGGTATTTATTACATTGGTGCAGGTGATGTCACAGTGATGTCATCAAGGTCGTCTCACTTTTGGGCTAAACATTTATAACAGAAAGCTTGTGTTGACGATGTGGACGTGTGGAGTTTGAAAGATGTGCATGTATGGACAGTGGAAAAGATGTTATGTTGCATTATGGGAAGAGAAAAATGAGGGAGCTGTTATGTGCAGAGCAGAAAATTTAATCTACTCAATATATGCAGAAATGCAGACTGACCAGTTTACACTGACGAGTCTCTATGTGGACGAGAAACCAAACTAACAGTAAGTGATGCCAAAGGGAATAATTAAGACATGAAAGCATTTATTGTTATTTAAAAGAAATCTGTTCTTCAACTTTAGAAAAGTGCAATAATAAATCACTGAAGTGCTGCTTTAAATGATGAGTAACTGAAACAAGCAATAAAAACCTGTGTGTATTAGTTAGAGACAAGAGCTGATAATTGTTTATTATTATATATGATATGTGCTGATACGTTGACTGAAACTCTTGTGATGTGCACTTGTGATTGAAGGGCAGCTGTAAGATAAATCCCCCCTGTGGAGTCCAGACACTGGTGGTGGTGGCTGATGAATAATGAAGCTAATGAATCTCCAAAAGTGCACCCATTCTTTACTCAAGTAGAAGTACAGATACTTGTGTGTAAAAAAGTGAAAACATAAGTAAGTAAAGTACTGATTTAAGTTCTTTACTCAAGTAAAACGTTCAGGCTCTAAAAGTAAAAAGAGCTCTCTTGGTTTCTACTGACTGTTTCTGTGCAGAGCTGAAACTTCAAATAGGGTCGAGCGTCTTGTTTGTTTCATCTTTTACGTTGTTCTAACAGTTTTCATCATGCAGGATATTCACCGGTCTGGCGTCCAAAATTAGAGGTTTTGATTTTTATTCAGCTGATACAATAACCGATAATCACCGGCTTCTTGTGGCCAATACTGATAAGATAACTGATAAATTCACATTTTGGTATTTAAAGTTCATAAGCTTTAGTTTATACACACCTGATGATGAGAAAGACTGAGGAGTAGTGAGAAAAGATTAATTATTTAATAAGCTTTAATTATCTAAAAAACAGTTCTGAATCTTCAAACGTTCATTTATTTTTTATAGTAAACTTCACACAACATAAAGCCTATCAATCGTTTTGCATAAGAATTCAAAATAAATTATTTTTATCAACCGATAATTTATCTGCTGTAATTTATTTATTGGGATCACTTATAATAATATGAATTTCCATTTATCGGCTGATTATTTATCTGTCTTGATAATTATTGTGCATCCCTGTACAAAACTAAATTAAACTAAACTAATAAGCCTGTACATGTACAAGTACATATATTGTGTGAAAATGTAGGATGTAAAAGTAAAAAGTTAGTACAGACAAACTACATAACCACCTCTGATATCAGGTTCAACAGCCCTGAATAATGACGGTGAATCCCTTCAGGCATATACACCGAAGAAAACTACATGAACTTTTGCTGGAGCTTCTTTTGTGCGTCACTATGGTGGAAAGCTTACTCAAATCCTTTATTTATGATTAGTAGTAACTAAGTTAGTGTGAAAATACAACACGTAAAACGTATTATCAAAGTACACTAAGTATAAAAGTATAAATTATCTACATAATCTTGAGTATATATGGGGATTATAAGTATATAATCTGACCTGTCTAAACAAAAGTTAAATAATTTAATTAAAAATAGAAGTTCATCATGCAGTGTCATATTTTTATTTTAGAAGTATATTATACACTCAGATTACTATTAGTGATCAATAATATGTAAGCAGGATTTTAATACTAGCTGATAGCTGGTGGAGCTGATTGTAATTTATTAAAACAATAATCAGGTTCCCATATGTGGATTAAAACTGGCTTGCTGTAATAACGTTTCCTGTTCGTACCGAATGTATAAAATAACCTATATATATAATATTTTGTGTCTTCCAGCTCTGCGACCGGCCTCCAACATGCTTCGCTTGGTGGTCTACCTGACTGCAGTCCTCCATTTTAGCACCTGTGGCTCAGAGGAGCTCTGCCAGGGAGATCAGTAAATATGTTTATTTATATTTGATAGAAAATGCTATGAAAATGTTTAAGTAACTTTACCATGAGGGCCAACAATGACTTAAATCCATCAGATTTGGTTAATTAGGGTCGAAGTCTACTTTACAGGCTACATTCACACTGCAATACTTTAGTGATCAAGTGTGATTTATTGCTCAGATCTGATTCTGTTTCAATTTCTGTTCAAATTATGTGTTTAATGTGGCCAATATTAGATAACAGTGTCATTACAGGTGACAACACATGAGGAACACAGATCCAGAGTGACATAAATGTCTCATATGAAAGTGTCCCAAATCAGAACTGAAAAGATCTGATTCTCTATGATTTGGAATCAGATCTAAGTCACATTTGAGCAAAACAAAAGTCAGATTTGAGGCCACATGTGTGAACGTAGACATAAAGCTGTTGTGTAATCAATGCAGAACCATCAGTACATCTGTTCTCATGCTGACAGAGGTATTTTGTCTCTCTCCACCTCCACAAGGTGCGTCCTGTGCACCGTGACCGGCCCCACTGTCATTGATGTCCACAGCTCCGTCAGCTATATCGAGGACCGGTGTGGGTACACTCTGATGAACACCTCATCGATCCCAGATTTACTGGTCCACGCCACATTCAAGGAACGACGCCGTCAAGATGTCAGTTTTCTGGACCGTGTAATCCTGTCTCTGGTTAAGCCAGGTGTTCATATTTATCTGGATCAAGGCGGGAGAGTTCAGGTGAGCAGCCTAGAGCCAGTACAGGATTAATTCTGTCACTATCAATTAAAAGCAATAAAAAGCCCAACAAAAATATAAAAAACCCACTTATCTCAACACCAACTATGCAAATGAATACAACAGAGAATAAACATCATATAAGACAACAGAACAATGTAATCTTTTATCATTAAAAAATCTGTGAAAAACTGAAATTATAATCCTGAATGTAACTGTAATCTGTTTACATCTTTTTTTTTTTTTTACATCTGTAAGTGTAACGGATTAGTTAACTTTTAAGAAAATTTATGATTAGGTGATTACATTTTGGGGCAGCAGTAGCTCTGTCTGTAGGGCCAGTTCCACCTCCTGTGTACTGCCGAGGTGCTCTTGAGCTAGGCACCTAACCACTAACTGCTCACGTGGCGCCACTACCTGGCAACCCATCACTCCACCATCTCTCCACAGTCGCCCTTTGGGGATTAACAAAGTACATCTTCTTCTTCTAACTAATCTGTCACTCAAGTCTGCTCCCAGGAAAAGTGATCTGCACAAGAACAATTTAATGTAATCAGCCAAACGTTTGTGAGCTTACAAAAAGTTGGACACAGTTTATTCAGACCTCATGTATCAGATATTACGTAAATATTGTAAAATATCGTAAAATAACACTATAAATGTTTGTGTTGCAATCCCACACTGCTACATAACAGTGTTGTCAACTAGGACTGTAAAGACATATCACGAGGGGTTGGGTCCTTGCTGCAGCAGCCGTGGGTTCGACTCCGACCTGTGGCACTTTGCTGGGTGTCACCCCCACTATCCCCCCCCTTTCCTGTCACTCTACAGCTGTCCCCATCAATCAAAGGCAATAAAAGCCTGAACTGTATATACACAGCTTATTCTCAACCTCAGAAATAAATAAGAGAAAACATATTTAGTAGATCTTTATCTGTCTTTATCATAATTTATTCTTTTTAAACTGTGAGAAAATCCTGATTGTAAACCCAGTATCATGAGTTGTTTCATTAAATCCTTAATAATTTATAATACTGTGGATGGAAAGTAGTCTGAACCTTTTAATTTCTCATTTAAACAAATCACAGCTTCTCACTCAGCTGATGACATTATCTACTAGAAATATGCCACCGGACCAGAAACACAGCAGTGTTAATAATGTAAGTTTCTCCTTCTGCTGTGCCGCAGCTGGACAACGTAACGATGACGCTCAACACAACTGCCCAAGTCGTTCACGGTGTGGAGCTCTCTAAGAACAAGACCGGAGTGAGCGCCAAGATGTCCAACTCGAACTACACAGTGACGGTCTTCTTTGATGGCTACACCGCACAGATACACATTAAAGGTACAAAACCTGTTTCTACCTTTTGCACCCTAACACTCCACTCCACAATACTGGAACATATACTTCATATCATATGTGATATGTGTTAATATAATAAACCATGTTGATATTATATATCATATTTATACAATATTCTTATCTTTTCTTTTCACATTTCTATTTAGAATATATTATTTATTGTATGTATTTCTTGTATAGTCAAGTATCTATTATACATATGCTATATATCATATCATATCTCGTATATATATATATATATGTGTGTACATATTATATATCACATTTATGTATGTATGCAAACCTTACACAGGCGGAATATATGACACATATCTACATTATATCAATATTAATGTATTATTATATCTATGTGTATACATGTATATCTTTTCAGTCATCATATTATATATACATATTATTTTTATTATTATTATTATTATTATATACTGTTATTAACAATAACACTACTATCTATCTATCTATCTATCTATCTATCTATCTATCTATCTATCTATCTATCTATCTATCTATCTATCTATCTATCTATCTATCTATCTATCTATCTATCTATCTATCTTTAAAACACTCCCAGAACACACACTGCAGTGATTCTTACAAGACATTTGTAGACATTAAGTCTGTCAAAAGTCTGTCAATCTTCCACAATGCAGCTGCACATCTAGTTTTACCTGTACTTCAGTCAGAGCCTTTGTGGGTGGTTGTTTTAACTGTGTACTTATCTAATGCAGGACGAGGCTGAAGGTTCAAAGCTTAGGTATTAAATACAAATCTAAACTTAAAAAATTTAAAAATAACAATTTAATATAGTTTTCTTCATAGAAATCAAAGAAATGCTGAGATACGTTTTCTTAGACCCCTCAAAGTCAAGAAGGCCTCACAAAGCTTTGGTGACCCCTATTAATGGTCACGACCCCCAGGTAGGAACCACTGAGCTGCACTACTTGTTACTGGGGAAGGTTATATTATTACTAGTAATGCCTTACTGCCCATCACTGGTGGATAGTGTGCAAACAGCCGCAGGTGAGATGGTGAAATTATTTAATTAATAAAGTTGCCATGTTGTGATTGTATCAACTATTGGATGCTGTACTTTAGTGTGCGGCCAGTTTATTGATCAGATTCTCTCCTGAAACTGACCAGGACCAAGTGGACAAGTTCCATTTGTGGAGGGTTTATGTGGCAACTCCAGCATCAGTGAAGCGAGGTCCTCTAACTACAGTGCCAGTGGGTAAGACCTGCATCACAACAACTGACTGCTGAACCAGTTACTGCTGTTAGTGGTTCGATGTTTGGGTGCTTTGTTTATGACGTAGTAGAAGAACGGTCCTGATCCTCTGCTATTTGTTGCCCCCAGGTGTGAGACGCAGTACGTGGACACCAGTAACAGTACGATCGACTGCAACAAAACAACTGAACAGTGAGCAGAAACACACCTGAACACAGATGAAACACTCACATTCGTACAGGGCCTGATGAGGGATGCAGCTGACATTTTTGTGTAGTGGCCACGGTTTTGCAGGATCCCGTGGCTCCCTCTGGCTCCAGTAGAGTCCGACTGCAGGCGCGGCCACTAAATTACATGTATTAATAATAAATGTGTTCAGAAAATGTCTACAAATGTCCTGTTTATGCTTGTTTATATTCCATCTCACACTTTTCCCCCTCTCTGCTTCACTGGAACAGCTGTAATCTGCTGAAGGAGGCGCCCTTCAACACCTCTCACAGCAACATCAAACCTGACCCCTTCATAACCGCCTGCAACTACACTTTGTGCAAATATCCTGCGGTGGACGGTCTCAAGTGTCAGTTCCTGGAGGCCTATGCCAGAGCCTCCAGCCTGTTCATCAATGACACACTGGCGGGCTGGAGGACAAATGCCAACTGCTGTAAGAGCCCTTCAGTGCTGAGTTATACAAAGAAAGCATGATATGATTTAAGGGGTCAGCTCTCTTAGAATCAGCTAGCAGCTCTGTGAGGCTCTACTCAGGGATAGTCAGTAGGCGATTCGAGGATGGATGCTATCCCTCTTCTTAGCAAAATGACTAAAATACATTCCAGTTGTTAACCTGCCATCCACCCTCTCCATCCCTTAGTACTTGAGTAATAGGTGAGTAATAGACAGCGTTCCAGGTCTCCTTTCTATCCAGACCCACACCTATAACTGATAAATTACTGATGCTCAGAGGGAAAACGCCACCCTGCCCTTTTTATCATCATGTGATCGTCTGTGTTATTATTTTACACACCGTTGGCTGTGGGTGCACCGTTCCCTATCCTATGCCTCAGTTTTTATGAGCTATAAATCCAAGAAAGCAAGCAGTCAATGCAGAGACAAATAATACTCATTACACTGAAAAAAGCTCTCACCGGGTCCCACATGACTCAAACCCTGCTTGCAAGGCTGAGCTGCAGTAACGCCACTAAATCCTCCACACTTGTCCTTTAAGTGATCACCATAGTCAGTAGAATTCATCCACTGAGGAAGATCTGATTACACACACAGAGAGATTGAGATACAGTTACACTACTTTAAACTCACATATGTAAATAGTTTTGGTACAATAATGGCTCCATACAGAACCAGTTTAATGTGTTGTTCTGCTTGTTTTCTTTCAGCCTGTAACATCAACTCTGTCTCTCTCTCTTTCTCTCTGCAGCCGAAGAGCCTCAGGCCTTCTGTCAGGACCAGTTCTGCAGTGCTCATGAATTTTGCGGCGATAACAGCGCCGGTAATGGAACACGTTGTCACTGTCGGGCCATATTTGCCTCCCCTTACAGATCCCAAAACTCTTTAGGTAAGACGGCTGTAACACAAGTGACAATCTGTAGTTTTACACCAAACTTGCCAATTTATTTAGTTGCACCATCTCTACTTACCCTACAACTGTAACTATATACAGCACACCTTAATCTCAGCATTTGGTTACTTTCTATGAAAGAAAAGTAAATAAAGTAAGTCAAATAGTTATTTTTACAGTTTAGATTATTATTCAAGATCGAAACTTTAAAGACCAGAACACAAGTTATATTCACAGAGCCTCCACTCTCTGATAAACAGCCTGGTCCTGCATTAGAGAAATTAAAACAACCAAAGAGCTAATAGAAGAATGAGAAGAAACCCCTGAATTTTTCAAAGTATGTATGATTGCTAAAAATGATAGAAATATATAATACAGACAGAGAATTGAATAATTAAATAATCTGCTCAAAATTCACCAAAAATCACTTGTTTTACACAAACCTCCTGCAGTTACTTAGTTCACTATTTTGGTTCATTGTACAGTTCTTGATATAATATGAAATACCCACAAAATCTATCACACGTCAGGGGTCGTCAGTGATAGAAAAGGGGTCCCTTAAGGAAAAAGGGTTGGGAGCTACTGCTCTATGTTGCAATAGCCTAGTACATTAGCTGGATGTAACTGTAACAGTAACAGTACAGTGCGTTATTGTTAATACCTAAAGCCTTAATTGTTGGTCCTAAAGCTGTAAAATACAACTTTTCATCCCACTATGTAATATATTGTTTTATTGGTTGTGTAACTTGGAAAAAATACCTTGTAATACGAAGAGCGGGTCGTCCACTAATCGGAAGGTTGTTGGTTCGATCCCCGGCTCCTGGTGCTACATGTCGAAGTATCTTGAGCAAGATACTGAACCCTGAATTGTTCCCGGTGCCGTGCATCGGTGTGTGAATGTGTATGAATGTTAGTTTCTCTTCGATGGACTTTGCCATCACTGAGTGAATGTGTGTGAAAGGCTGAATGTGCTATACAAGTACAGGTCCATTTACCATTTACCATCATGATGCTGTGCAGGTCTGATCTAAATAGCACAGGTAAGGAAATAGTGGTTGTTATTTGTCATTCACACTGTTTTGGTCACAAGCTGCAGCTGCACAACACAAACACATCCCCACTTCTTGTATAGACCGGAGAGCTGGCCTTAACACACCCAGATTTGTTTCTGTTGTTGCATGTTTTACTTACTTACTAACTGTTGTGTGTGTCCTGGTGTTCAGGTGATTTGTTGGTGTGCAATGGCACTTCTTCGCATACTACCCTGGTTGGTTGTCTCCTGGAGGACAGAAACATCCACTACACTGAATTACACCTCTATGACAGCTCATGCAGAGCTGAACAGGACAACGTGACGCACGCGGTGACCATAGCCTTTGACAGCGAGTCCAACCCCTGTGGGACGATGATCAAGGTGAATGTCTCTCTTCTACTTATTGACTCTCAACAAGCAGCCAGATGTCCTCTGTAGTTTTTAATCATTATACTGTAATCCCAATCTCCACCCTAATGCCTAAGCCCCAAACCTTCACGGACTTAGTTGTGCACTTTATGCACACTTTTACGCAAAGAGTGCATAAAGTGTGGAAAATGGGCCGGACTCAGTCAGCAACAGTGAATGTCTAAAGAAATTCAAATGTAAGGTGAATAAACTGTCTGACTCCATGTGACCTTTCAGATGAGCAACGACAGCCAATATATAAACAAGAATGGCATCATGGTGTCGTCTAACAGCGAGGAATTGCTCGACTTCAGCTGTCCCTTTTCTATTCCAGCTATAAGCTTCAATTTCTCTATGGAAATCAAAATCAAAGACAACACCAACAGGTGGGGTTCAACAACATATCGTTGCACAGAACATTACAAACACAAAGTTTCTCCAACTCCTCTCTCTGTAGGTCAGGTAGAATATATAATATATATATATTGTAATATAATGATATACAATGATCCCCAAATTGAAGGTGTAAATACCTGAATCTTGTTGGGAATACTAACACCTCAAAAAATCTATTTTAATCTGAAAACATGTTAGACCAACTTCCCAGATGAAAACATTTGTTGGTAAAATATAAATCCCTTAAAGGTCCAGTATTCAGGTGATTATACACTAATGAAAACATACCTATTAATATTATATTCCATTTCTACCAATAGATCCTCCTTAATGATACACACTGAACCTTTAAGACTATCGTCATAGACCATTAGCTTAAATCAAAGTCCCAATGATCATATATATAAATATAAAGAATATTAAATGTCAGCTGAACACACTGATACACTCAGAGAGGAGTATGCAGTTGTAGAGGTTTAAAGGTTTCATTAGTTTGTGATTATAAGAGAGCTGATGTGTGTGTGTGTGTGTGTGTGTGTGTGTGTGTGTGTGTGTGTGTGTGTGTGTGTGTGTGTGTGTGTGTGTGTGTGTGTGTGTGTGTGTTCATACAGCTCCACGGTCGCGTATGCTACATTTGGATACTGGAACACCACTGTGACCATGAAGGCCTACAGCGACCCCGGCCGCACACAGGCTGTGGATGCGAACAGCACGCTCCACCTGAACCAGAAGATCTGGTTTGAGTTGAAGGCGGACACCCTGGATGATCAGGTTGCTTTAGTGACGCACTCCTGCTATGCAACCAGTGAACCATCGGCCAATTCGAGTCTGAGATACAACCTCATCATCGATGGGTGAGAGACGCACTGATGTGGTTATAAACCCCCAAATCATTTCCACTGGTGTTATTAGCTGAGAGAATTTTGGTGAGTAGGAAGTTCTGGATTAAAAGGTTTAGATCACATACTGGTTGGTCGTCGGCTTTCAATCAATTAATGTTTTAAGCTTTCATCAACCTAATTATTCTGAATCAGTAGTTTAGCTTAGTCTCTATTTTGCACAGTTAAAAGATACATCAAACTGACAGGACAACAAATAATATACAGTGCAGGAAGAGGCAGAAAACCCAGGTGGGCTTATTTAAAGCCTCTAACAAAGGTAACATTTATGAAAAACACAAGATTTCCCTTACAGAAAATACAGTAAAAGTTGCAGCAAACTAATAAAAAGAAAAAATGCATCACAACAACAACAACAATATTGATATAAAAACATAAAATTTATGTATGTGATGTATAGTGCTGCTTGAAATTATGTGAACCTCTTGAGCTTTTTGGAGTTTTTTTTCTTTGTGTAATCAGAACCAATATTTTTTATATGAAATAAGAGGTGTATGTTTATCAAATCCATAAACCTTTTTAGAGGAAATCAAGACAAAATTATTATAACTGATTTTTTGTAAACCTTTGTAGGGGCCAAAGTTAGTAAAACCAGAGCTTAAAACAAGCAGGTAAATACAATCAGGTGCCACAATATTGTTGGCTTAATAAATCAATGAAATGAGAGATGTTAAGGGGAGAAACTGATCAAACCAGATAAAACCAGATCAGTCTTACCACAGTGAACCCATACAGGACACTCATGCCGACAGTAGAGCTGCAGAATTAATCAAATTATTATTGAAATCGCAATAAAGTGCAATATCCTATTGCAATATAATATTTGTTAAAGTTTGAATGAGAGAGAATTAGAGTTGTGTTATCTGCAAACATAAATCATCAATATAGATAGGGAATAACAATGGTCCAAGAATGGATCCCTGCAGAATCCCACAGAGAAAACAGACTCAGCTGGAACAGCAACCAGATGGTGTTTGGTACAAATTTATGTTTGAAGCTAAATATGTTCTATGAGGGGTCTTAAAAGGATTCAGTTTCTGATGAGTGCTATGGTATGTAAAGCTACTGCAGCTGGTGATGTCAGGTGTGTTTGTCTGTTTCTGAGCAGCTGTGCAAACCCTGCCGACAACAGTGTGACTGTGGAGGGCAACGGGGAGAGTGCGTCCAACTACTTCTCCTTCAAAATGTTCCATTTCAGTGGGAAATCTGGAGACGTCTTCCTGCATTGCTCAATGAGCCTGTGTGTCAAAGCCAACGAGACCTGTAACCCGGTACGTCCACAAAAATACTCACAGACTACTCACAGGTTTTTATTAACAATCTGATAAATCACCCACCTTTGATATGCTTATTAAAAAAACACACATTCAAAGTGACAAAACAGGAGCAAATTAAGAAAACATCTTCACCAAATTGACAATAAATCTGACAAAATACAACCAAATACAGAAACACACCATTTGCTTGCTTGCATGCATCGCAGCCATTGATCTGCTACTTCTCCGAAGGCTTTCCACCAGATCTTGTAACGAGACTGCAGATATTTCCAGCCACAGGAGCATAAGTGAGGTCGACCAGTGATGTCGGGTAATCTGACTCAGAGTTGGCATTCCAGTTCATCTCAGAGATGTTCGATGGGGTTGAGGTTAGGGCTCTGTGCAGGCCAGCCATGTTCTTCCCCACCAAAGATGGAAAACCATCTCTTTATGGACGTGGCTTTGTACACAAGGGTCTTCTCCCCAAAGTGCCACAAAGTTGGAAGCACAATATTGACTAAAATATAATTGTATGCTGTGGAATTAAGATTTTCCTGCTTTGAAACTAAGGGGCGCAAACCAGACAAATGTGTGATGGGACAACCAGCCAATCGCTGTACATAGAGCTACATCACCAATGTGGCCAAAAAGCTGAAAACTGTCAGATTTAAGGAGATCTTATCCACAAATATCTATATCAGTGTTGAATCTAACTTTATCTCTCTCTCTCTGTCTGTCTTTAACTTTAACCCAGAGCTGCGGTCAAAGTAATAGGAGACGTAGATCTGTCACATATGAAGAGGAAAAGCCAACCTTCATCATCATGGCCTGGGGCCGTTAGGTGAGACACATCTCTGCTACTAAACACAGTTACAGGTAACTAATGAACACCGGTGAAGTTGCAGCTGAGTTTTCAAGAGTGTGCAGGGCTCAACGTCATCCAGTAGGAGTCAGTGGACATTCACACTCGATGCTAGAAACCATGTTTGAGACACAAGTTACTGTCTCCTCTCATATATGTCCACCTGTTATCATGAAGCCAAAGTTCCATAAGTACTTGACAACATACATAAATAATAACCATATAATACATGAGAAGATATCCGCTGAAGAAGAGTTACACTTGGTGTAAAAGCTTTTTGGGTACAGTCAACCCCAAAAAGAAGACCCGACATAATTGTGTAAACATAGAAACAGCTTCATCTCACTGACATTGACATTGTTTTTCACCACTGCTGTTTGAGAGTACAGAAATAAATAATAAAATAAATAAAGAAGAGCTTCAGGGTGACTCCAGAAAATGAGACTCAATCAATGTCCCCAATCACAAGAATCAGACAAACACAAAGCTGCAACAGTTTGAACTTTTTCCACATTAAAAACATTTTAAATCTCTTGCGGTCGCACAGTGTGACCTAGTTCTTATGTTCTTATGATGGTGACTGGGACGACCTTGAAGTCAGCACAGCATCACCTTGTACAGGTGAGCTCTGGCTCCTCTTCAGAAACCTGACAGAGGAGTTCCTGGTTCCCCCGGGAGAGGTGAACCAAGAGTGACCACAGGTTACATCCCTGATGACGTATCTGCGTGAAAACACTGAGAAATAAAGCTTCAGCAGAAAACTGATGAGCTTAAAACTAAAATGTTGACTCTTAGAGGTCCCTCGAATAAAGTATTTCTAGTCTAAGCAGACTGGAGAAAGAGATTATACAGGATTCACACAGGTAGAGTGAGTTAGTGTAGCGTCACCGGAGTGTCTTTGTCCACGTTTTCACCGAATGTAGCATAAAGAGAACAATTAAACCGTTTGTCTTTGAGATGGAGGAGAAATGTTTTCCTGCTGTAATAACAACCAGAGTTGTATTTTTTCAGGTTGTTTCCACGGTGACTCTGCGACGTGTAGACCTCCGGAACGAGTCCCGATCAAGAGTCTGGACGCCTGAATATCTTCAATTTTATAAACATCTCCTGAAAAGATTAGCTCAGTTAATCATCGCTGTGAAGTGTAGCAGCCAATCAACTGTCTGAATGAGTGTCTTCAGCACTGTGTTACATCTTTTCACTGTCCCTCTAGGATCTCACACTTTTGTAATAATTATTGGGCCCCAAAAATGTTCTTTAAAGTCTCATATTTGAAATTATTTTGAGATGTATTTTAAGGGTTAGACCACAAAAAAAAAAAAAAGACAAAATGTGATTTCCTACACGGACAGATTCTAATTATAGTTTCTTTCTGCTCATACTATACGGGGTCTCTATATATGGACTATATTTACAGTCCAACCTTAAAGATAATTAAAATATTTTCTATCTTTCTTTATGTAAGATTAGAAAATACAGACGTAGAGTCAGGACAAGGTTAGCTTAACTTGTGTGCAGGAGGCACAGAAGTGTTTTATTTTATTAAATAATACATTTTAGAGAGTTTCCCCAAATCACATTTAATTAGATAATTGTAGGATGAGTAATAAAGAGGAAGTTAATCGAGGCTTGTTCAACTGTAATTGGAGGACAGAGTAAAAAAGGGGGCGGGGCTTAAGACAGGTAAATTAACAGCGTTGTATCTAACTTGTTTAATCTGTACACAAACAGAGGAGGAGTTACAGGCGGGAACAATTTCTTGGTGAACAACCGGTCGCGCTAACCTCCTGGCGATAGAAATTGTTCCAGCACATAACTCTCTAAACCCACAAACATATATATTATTATTATATTTCCATTTGTAAATGGATTAAACAAACAATATACAACATAGCTGGCCGTATCTCCCTGCGTCCAGTCTTTATTCGAAGCTAAGCTAACCACGTCCTGACTCCAGCAGTCAATGTGGAACTTCTTTATATTTTCCCTTTTTTAAAAATATAGTTCTGTCGTTGTTATTTCCCACACGCAGCAGCCGGGAGGCCAGAAAATCTGTTCAGTTTTTAATCACCGACTGAAATCACTCTTGAAGCCATGTCACAAGAAGGTTTATGTCAAGTTGGCTGGAAACAGTCAGATAATCGTAAGGATCAACATCCTCATCCCGTCATTATCAACAGATTCCAGCTTAAGACTTTAAATAAATGACTGACTGCGCTCCAACTGGCTGCTCTCTGTATCACTTTCACTACTCTGTTGTTTCTATGCATGACAAAAACAAAAAAAAAAAAAGGGGAACATGGGTAAAAGACAAACAATGAGTGTGAGTCCTGTCATTGATTCGTCTGTTTCTGACTTTAATGTTCACACATGACACAGGTAACGAAGCTAATGCTGTGAGCTGACCTGGGCGGCTGAGGTCAGTCTCCAGGAACACACTGTAAATGCACGTCGCTTAAACTAGTTTACGGTTCTTCCAAGATATGTTTAAACACCTCCAGGGTGCCGAGTATAAAAGAACACTGGATATGTATGCAGCCTGGAGGAGCTTTAAATATTAATCCTCATAAAAATGTTGATGCACTTGCAAAAACTATTTTGCTCTGGGTGGATTTGTACATAACCCTGATTGCCGTAGTTCTGTATGAAGCATTTAAAATGCCTGAATATGAAAATAAATTAGGAAAGAAATAAGGTAGGTCTACAATAAACATTTCAATATGTATTTTACTTTTTTATTATGCATTTAACTGTGCAGTCCCTCCAGGATTTTGCCGGCATTTTTGGGGATTAAATGTCTGATTTTATATTTTAAAAAATTAAAATTAAAATTAAAAATTAAAAAAAAAGATGCAATATAAGTTGTGATGTTTTTAAGCATTTGTTTGAAATGAAATTGATGGAGAAAAGTTGCATTAAAAAAAAAAATTCTTAAAAACCTAAGGAACTTGTTTCAGTGATAATAAATTGTGGGTCGACTACTATGATTGACACAACTTCCTGGAGTGACTGTCATAATGGAAAACAAAAGCTAAAATCAATTATCATTTTGTCTCTACTAGACCTCTTAGTACTAAAAGTTTTTTATTTATTTATATATTGACAATTTTTCATGCCATATTAAAATCAAATTACAACTCAGAAAAATGAAGTGTATTACAAAGAGCAACGTAAACCAAACACAAAATGCAAAGGAACATATTTTATGTATATATATATATTCTTTCCTTTATTTAGGCATTTCAAACCTTCCATATATCAAACACACAGTTCGCCACAAGCTCTTCCAATGAACACTACTTACTCTCAAAACAATATTTTTCAATCAAATGTTCATTCGGTTGATACAGTTTTTATTTCGTATCACAGCAGGTTTGCTCAGATTGTTTTTATTTCAATACAGATGATGAAGATTTCTCAGCTGCATTAAATGTAGAGGAGATAAATTTACCTAAAGATGACATTGGGACTAAACATTTGATGCATCTAACGTGTGCTAACTGTAAATGAACCTGGAGATCGATGAGTGGTTTTTCAATTTACTTAATTTACGTAATCCAGCGTCGTCTCTGGGACCCTGAACTCATTCTGCTTTCAAACAAACAAACAAACAAACAAACACACACACCTCTGGACTCGTCTTCCACCCCTCGATGGGTAAAGTGCTGCAGAGAAACATTCTGATACAATTTAAATGACAATTCAAGACATGAAGACCATCACATTGGACCGGATTGCACTGAATAATTAAAACACATGATTTCAGCATAGAGCAGTCTTTTTTTTTTTTTTTAAACTCTCTGAGTGCTCGAACTTGGATCGTAGTGAATCAGAGTCATCAGCTCAAACTTCACAACAAAATCTGCTCCCATAGCAGCTCTGTCCGACACAGAGGCTAACACTTTAACACGCAGTACGTCAGGTAGATTACAGGTGAGTTGGTGCAGATCCAATAATACAGGCAACTGCTGCTTCCACTGAGGTTTTCTTTGTTATTGTTAATGAGTAAAGTAGATTTGTGTTTCTACCCTGAGGGTCCGTGGCAGCACGCCCACTTGTAAAGGAGTAATGAAGGAAGATTGTGTGATACGATCCAGTAAAGCTACTATAAGAACCTCTGGTGAAAACAATAGTACATATTCATAGACTGAAGATCTCCTTTACACTCAGAGTTGGATCTGAATGTCCAAAACCAAGAATTCAACATTTAATTTTTTTTACTTTTACGGCTTGATTATTTACAAACAAGGCTTATTTGTATTGGAAAAATAATAAAGTCGAATGAATTCAATCGATTAGTCGAATGGTAGAAACTAATCTGCAACAATTCATTTTAAGTCACTTTTTTTAAAGCAAAAATGTACAAATATACTTTAGTTCCTTCTTCTCCAATGTGAGGATTTGCTGCTTTACTCTTTTACATCAGCTGAATATCGTTGGGTTCTAGAAAAACTGTTTATAGACAAAAAGATAATGAAAATGCGTTTCTTATTTAGGGATGTTGCTCTGATCCACCTAAACTCTTAACAGCAGTAACCACATAATAACATCCTGTGTGCTGAAGTGTTTAAAGCCTCCTATCAGACAGAGTTTTGTGCATACCGATGATGTGGTTACAGATTATTGTAACATACAATATTTTAACAAAAAAACATTCAGATTTCCATAGGCACAAGGATCCATATGGCACAATAAAATAAAGGAATCTCAGCTCTGTGACAACAAACATTAAAACACAACATAATTAAAACAGAAGCAGAAACACTTAAAAGGAATCAACACAAAAAAAGGGTCTGAAATTAACCGTCAAATGAAGGTAAACTGAGCTCTGTGGAAGGTATTAAAGTCACCAGTGCTTGTACTTGTACGTCTTTAGCAGTTAAAGGCAAACAACTCTCTGATCACCAGGATGCGACTGATGTTCCAGGCCGCCGATGATTTCAGGTCGTTTCTATGAAAGGTTTGAAACTTGCGGCAGAGAGATCAATTTCTCTGCCTATATCGTCATATTTTATTTTATATAAATTAAATTATTGTCCCGTGATTGTGCGGTTGTGGGCAGAGATTTATCGACACTCCAGCATCTAATTAGAGTCGGGCTGTTTCCAAATCTCAACTTTTTGAGTCTAGTGTTGGTCGATGCCTTCAATATCTGGTTGGTGGGGGTGGAAAACTGCTTCTTTATTTCATTTCACCATGTGTTTGTGGTTCTGGCTGTTTTACCACCATTAATTATGATAAGAAGAAGATTATTCAAAGCTTCAACCTCCAGTTAAAAGTGTGCGTCCTGTTTGTGGTAAATTCAAATTCAGGAGAATGAGAAGTTGTTGCCACTCGTTTCATTATGAAAAGTTTCTGTTTTGATTGTACAGTCAATTACGATTGTTCAATAGAGTCCCTGAATGCACCGTTAAGTTACCACTATAAGCTATTACTACTACTTTAATAAGGTAATGCTGACTAAAATGGATTTTCTCTGTAGCAAGTTTTAAATCTGTGTAATCCTTCCTCTGTAACCCAACGGCGGCCTGGAAGGAGGGAAATCTGATGTGGAACAATAAGGTTTTATTCTGCTGTAAAAGACCTAAATCACCAAAATCTTACATGTTAGTGATGTTTATTTAATCTTCTGCCACAAAACACTAATTTCAGATTAATTTCAGACCCTAAATATAACCAGAGCTCGTCGCTGTGGATCCACATTGCTCTGATCTGGGACAGTACGGGCCCGTCTGACCAGTATCTCAGGGTTTCACACCAAAAGTGCAAGTTTTGACATTGTGTAGAGGCAAGGCCATTATTTTCCAATGAAGAGAGCAGCTGCACTACCCACAGTGGCACGCCCTACACTTATTTTTCTGCCACGTTTAGCAGCCAAAAGTTAAACCGAACTGAACTGGAGCAAACAAACGTGGTATTCTCTTTCTGACGTGAGGCAGAAGTTGCAGTATGATGGCGAGAATTTCACTGTAGAGAAGAATTGCGTAATTTTGTGCCTCAATTCCAGCTGTTTTCTTACATCCCGAGTCCTACCAGGAAAATCAGGATGAGAAGACGAAGACACCACAAAAAAAAAAAAAACAAAAACAAACGTATATATTGTGATTGTTTACATCCCGTTAGTCCAGTTTCAATCCAAATGAAGCGCAAATATTAAATAAATTTGCAGAAAATTGGCAAAAGAAAACTGAATGTGCCTTTCTATCCTCCACCGTTGGGAGCTTTGAGATTAACAAGAGGACAAAAACCTGAGAGGGTGGAAAACATGATGGAAATAATGATTGTTTCATGTATTCATTCGAGGAAGGTTACCGTCTCCTCGCTGCTCCACACACATTTGGTGTTGTCGTCTCTTGAGTGGACGTTTTATGTGTTTACATTGCACTTTGTTTTTACCTAAACACCAACTTTTCTTGCTCAGCCAAGTGTGCAAATTTTTACCTTTCAGATTTTTTTTATGCGCAAAAAAACCCAGATGGATGGAAACACGCACCAATGTGGTCTGTAGCATTGTGGTTAGCTGCTTAGCTTCGCAGGATTACGTGCTGCTCTTCACCCACCTCGTGCAAACTCTTCGCTCTTTGATCTGAAACAGCGGTTACGTTGTTTCAGAACGATTCTACAACTGACCAATCAGGACGTCTCACAATCACAACTCGACTATGGTTAGTTAACACGTTGCAACAAACTTCTCATCAAGTCATTTTTGTCTGGGATTTATTTTCTCGAAACGAGTTTGGGAAGGATTTCTGTTTCCAATGCAAATATATGTATGTAATATGTATTGTATATATGTTTTAAGTTCCTTTTTTCTTGCTTTTAGTGCAGCAACCTGCGTTATTTCTCGTTTCAAGATGCAAACACATTTCTAGAAAATGAAATGAAAACTGAGACATTTATTTCTATTAAACTGGAAGATTGTTTTTAAATTGTGTTTTTTGGGACTTAATTATAGACAGAAATGACTCGATGATAGTGTTTTTCCCGCAGTGTAGCTTCATTGTTTTTGTGTAACCGGCGTCCTGCGGTGAAATAGTCTCCATAGATCCTGGAGGCTACATGTTAAAGTTCAGAGATGATTTCAAAAGAGGGAAAAGCTGGAGTTGGAGCAACTTCTCTGCTGCTCCGGGATTACGACCACTACAGCGCCACGACACTGTCAGAGCATTGAAGTTAAAGGTTTGAATCCAGAAAATTCAACTTCATCATCCAGCGGGGGGATGAGTGTCCACAGTGGCTCCAAAAGTTCATAATCCAAAACGTTCAACCGCCACTTTCACAAGCCTGAAGATCAGGAAAGGAGCTCACCAGACTCCATCTACCCAGAGCCTGGTGGCTGTCTTCTAGTGTCAGAGCAGCCGGAGAAGACAAACATTCAGGTGCCGAGGATTGTCCAGACTGAGGCGCCCCCCACCCCGGCCACCCGCCCATCCTCTACTCTTTCTAACCACAGCAACAGATTTTAAAAAATTAAAAGCAGAAAAAGCAATAAAAACTAAAATGGTACTTGGATTATTTGTTAGTGATTCCTTTTCGCGTGTCAAGAAGCGACGATGTAAACCAGTCCGAACCACAGTGCGGAACCAGTGGGTCGGTCATGTTGCCGTAGTGACAGTTCCCCAGGCGAGGACAGGTGGTGGTGGCGGCGGTGGGCGGCGGTCAGATGATGGGTTTGCTGTGGTCTGTGGTCTCGGCCTTCTTCAGTTTGCCCTTACTGAAGGTCTGAATGGAGCTCAGCAAGGCGGAGCGACCTCCTCCCGCTCCGTCAGAGGACGACAGAGGAGGAGGGGGAGGAGGACAGGAGGAAGAGGAGGAGTCCGGCATCGGAGGGGGAGGAGGAGGAGGAGGAGGAGGAGGAGGGGGGAGGAGCAGTCCGGGCTCCTGGATGAAAGAGAGAAGAGGGGAAGAGTGTGAGAGAACAACACCAACCGTTTCCTGTAAGACTCGGTTTCCCCAGCTGGTTGCACAAAGATACGTTGGACTGATCGTAGTTTTTAAACTGAGCTAATGAGAGTTAATTAACTTAATTAACTTAACTCTAATGCTACTTTCACTTCAGCTGACCCTTCCTAAGTCCCGCCACTTTCCCACCACCAGCTTTCTAGCTCTCTAATGAGCTAACTAATGATTGACGTAGATTAGCCAACATTAGCACACTTAAGATGTGACTATATCTATGTGTCGCTTTTATCTTTTAACCATCTTCAAAATGTAGTTTTCAATGGTAGAAACTAGTTTTGTACTACTTTCTAATAAGATGCACCTTATAAAGGGTTTGAACTAATGGCTTGATTAATTGATAGTTAATAGTGATGCTTTATAGATCAGTTATAAGCCAATAATAAAGAGCCAATTTTGGGTTGCCAGGTTGTTAAAAATACCTCATTTGTAGTCAAGTCATCAACTAAGTCATTAAAGGTCATTTGTTTCTCCCTCTTCTAATAAGCCAAAGTCACCTGCAGTTATAAATATTCATTGTAAGTTGTTAATAAATAGATTTCTGTCCAAACGCTCTGTAGCTCCTGAAGGGAGGCGATGCAGTGATCCAGTGGAGGTTATTCTGGAGGATGACAAATGCCTATATTTGTTTTATTTTGGCAAATTGGTACCATTAAAAGTATTTTAAATCAATCAAATCAGCAAATTAATACTGGAGAGAACCTAAAAACATGATGACTCTCAGGTTTAAGTTATAAGTAGTGTCTTTTTTCTATCACTTCTCAGCTTTATGGACGTTTATACGCAACAGTCACACTCACAGTTTTGAAACCTCTGTCATAATTAATGGCTTATATCCGATTTATAAAGCCTTAGTAAATCATTTATTAACCAATACTAAAGCTATTAGTTTGACAACCTTTGAATCCTTTATAAAGGCTGACTTTCTGGAAGGAGTTTATCTTTGTGAAACCAGCACTCGTGTCCAGGCTGAACTCAATCCACCATCAGTTTCAACCCAACTTTCAGTTTGGGTACAGTTATTGATTACACATGTCAGTCAGTACCAAAACAAAGAGGCTGAAGTTCGACACCCAGCCTTATTTAAGAATATGGAGTCTAAAGTGGTTCCTGAAGTAAATAAATCTGCATTTGATTATGTTAAAGTGTTGCAATAAAGTCATCAGTTAGAAATGTTTCTTCTGTTTTTGTGTAATAGCTTTAAAAACTACATTACCCATGAGCCTCGCTAGCTGTTGCCATGGAGAAGGAATAAAATCAGAGTTCAAACATGAATTTATCCAACAAGTTCCACAAGCTTCAACTTTTCACAGCAACAGAGTCTGAAGCTCTCTGACAATTCTTACAGCAATGCCTTCTGGGACATGTAGTTGGTTCCCTCTTAAAAAGGCTCTGTTGTCCTGAACTAAATGAGTCACCATTTCTGTGTTTTCCAGACAGTCCATCTGTACTTGCTTCGTCAGTAGAGTGAACTGATGGTGAATTGAACCTAAACCTGGCACATCTCTTTCAGTTCTGTATCCACAAACTAAATGACACCCAGTGAATACAGGCAGAGAAACTACATGTTGGGGAGCTTCAACATGTGGTTAAAGCAGCGGCCAAAAAGCTGCGACTGGAGTCCACAGACTCCACCTTCTGTCTGACTGCACAGCGACTTCTCTGCAACGTAATGAAAGGACATCCGTCGGTCTGACAGATGGTAACCAAACCTGGAGAAACTGGTCACTGCAGGGGACGATTAACACGTTTAAAGATTATATTTTATGTGTTTGTTTGGCCGTGGTGAACAAATCACAACAAACTAATTAGTGAAAATGTAAAGAATTCGATTTTTGAATAATTTAACAATAGCAGAGGCACTAAAACCTGCAGTGGTGACGGATTATCTCCAGGATGGCTGTGGAACAAACTGACTTGCATTACGTTTTGCTGCCACAGTGACCTTTAGTGCTTCGACTGTGACTCTCGATCAGATGTGTCAGATCGTTTCACAATTACATGTGAAATCACAACGTCTGTAGCTGCATCTCTTTCAATTAAAAACATGAAATCTTCTCCTCCATTTTCAAATTCCTATTTCAACTACACACCTTGCTTATGTGTCCTTATAGGAGGGGAAAATGTGGTAGCCAGTCTTGGGAAACCACCAAATATGAACAAATTTCTCAAATATTTGCCATTGCCAACTATAAAATAAGTCATGTAAGTGTAAACTAATAAAAAATAGTAAAAGATTTGCATGAGTACAGGTTATTTTTCTATTATTTAATGCTGAATGGTGAATTATTCTGTGTATTATCTGACAAACTGTAAGTACAAATAAAGTTTACTGTTGAAATTAGTATGTTTTTTAATGAAATTTTAAATTTTCAAGTGAGGTAGTGAGTATCTTTCTGTGCACAATGTCTGAATGCCGTCTGCTGGCAACCTCTGGAGCTCTCCTAAATATCAGAGGAAATAAGAGTCTTTTCCTTGGTTACAGAAGTCGATGAAATGCTTTTACTCCTCGTCCTAAATGAAGAACCAAAAATGAGATTTTCGGGCCAGTTAGGACTGATTTCCTAATCAGAGAAGGCTGATAAATATACGCCCCCATCTCCAAAAGTCTGTAAATTCTGAACAATTTGTAGTTTATGTGCTCAAAAATAAAAACCTGGCATGGTAAAGAAACCACGAAAAATAGTTTCTTCTCAGAGTATTATCTGAAAAACATGAAAACCCTTATAAAAGGATTTATTGAAGGGTTTGGTTTAACAGCTCTATGAGACTGGGATGAAAACATATGGGTACAAGAGAGACTGATATCCCACAGCGTAGAATAAAAATAATAAGTTCAATATGTTTCTAAACCAAAAACGAACGTTCAAAGATCTGACACGTCTTCACTGTGACACCCCCGTCCCAAACACAGACACACAAGCAGACAAAACAAAGAGAAAACAGAAACAGACATGCTGTAACCGACAGACCGAGCAGACAGACAGAACTGACGGATCACAATCTCCAATGAGAACAGCCGGTCTGAATCAGGGAGGAGTTGGACTGTCTGTGAGATTTTGGACATCATTGCAGATTGTGAGGTTTTGATAAAGATGTGCGTACACCCTGTTACGTCTTCACTCCAGATCTCATCAGGGCCTCTCACACACTCATTTCTACGTTCACTCATCCTTAAGCAGTTTAGTCTAAGAAGGAATTTTGAGCATCTTCTTCTACATCAGGACTTTAAGGTTGAGATGGTTGAGTGAGGAAGTAGAAAAGTGTCGCCATTACATTGTTTGTCCACCAGAGAGCACTGAGGAGTTTATTTCATCACAGTGAAATGTCTTTCTCAGAGTGTATCTTCTAACACACAGATATGATACACAATGAAAAACAACAAAACAAACAAATCTAAGGGATCTGTAAGATTTATGTTGTGTGTTTATGTATAAAACACTATTGGCTGATAAAAAATATCAATTAACAGCCACAACAAATCCAATATTGGCACAGGTTGTATTTTGAATGTTTTCTGTCCAGATTCGTGACAGCAAGACCTTCTTAAATCATCAACCACAGATTGTATAATTAAAGATGTCTGAAGAGCCGCTGTGAAGCTCAGTGTGGTCGTCTCCATCCTGGCAGTCCTGACTCCACCGGCTCCCGTCTAATCCAAAAAAATGGCCAAAGACACGGAGCGTAGGTGGAGCTGAGGCGGGCTGAATGAAAGTGACCACGCCCTTAATTATGCATAAAATTAAACCTTGCTTGAGCATTTAAATACAGGGACTTATGGAGATTGACTCACTTCTGTAGCCGGCAGTTCCTCAAAGTGGCTGTTTGTTACTCGCTGTACTGGATGCGAACACACTTGTGCTCCGTCTATTTTTTAAATTTAATTTCTATTTTAAGTATTTTTTCATTACTTGAGATCATTTGCATGAGGCAGATCTGTGTGAGCAGACGTTCGTAGGGGAGCCAGGGTGTACGACAGCTTTAAAAACCACCAGAGACCTTCATCATCATCATCATCATCAGCATCGACATCGACATTATAAATCGACATTTTACTTTACCCAACGACACGGTCAGAATGGAGCATGCTCTATGGTGGAGACAGCACAGGAAGAAGAGAGAGAGGGAGATGACAGTTATCTGTTCAGTGGACCGATCAGCATTTACACAGTATCACCAGGACAGAGAGGAAGAGGAGGAGAGAGGAGAGAGGAGAGAGGAGGAAGAGGAAAGGAGACACTACTGTCAGGGTAGGAGACTGATGCCACATTCGTGTCAGCATGTTGTAAAAACGTCTGGTGATATTTTGTATTTTTCTTATCGTCCATATATGAATCCTATGAAAAAGACCAACATCAGCTCAGAGTTGATGTGTAAACTAATAAAAACATTGAGCAGCACACAGACCTACAGTGTGTATTAATACGCCAATGAAAATAGTTCCCTAAAAATACATTATTATTGTTTATTAATGTTATTTGAAATATTTCGAGTAGAAAACAATGAGCTTTAGGCTGAGAGACACAGACGAAGGAGGGAACAGAGACGAACTAAAACATTGTTGGTTTTGGTCTTTTCATTGGATTTGTTCTCAATATGAAAACTATGAATATCGTCAGACTTTTACTTTATAAATATATTAATACTATTATATTATATTATAATACTATAATTAATTATATTAAACATCAGTGTTTCCCATCCTGCATCCAGCTAGCAAGAGACAATGTGAATAAGACACACTGCTATATCAGAGAGAGAGAGAGAGAGAGAGAGAGAGAGAGAGAGAGAGAGAGATACCTGTCTGACAACCAGGTAATCACATGACGAGAGGAGAGAGACAGACAGACGGAGACAGACAGACAGACAGACAGACAGACAGACAGACAGAGACAGACAGTTCAAGTCAAACGATTAGTCTTCGTGATCACACGTGCAAATTTCAGATAAAAAAATTGAGGCCAGGAACTCAGCGTTAACGGCGAAGATGCTGTTATTGATCTGAGCAGCGTGCGGAGACAGACCACAGCCTCAGCAGGTTCTCGCCAACAAGGGGGAGCTACACAGTCTGTCTGATACTTTGCCAAACAGAGAGAGACAGACAGACAGACAGACAGACAGACAGACAGAGAGACAGAGAGACAGAGAGACAGAGAGACAGACAGGCGTACCTGTAGTGGATGGAGGGGTGGGGGAGGAGGGGCATGTGGGAGGGGAACTGGCTCCAGAACCTGAAGTCCGACAGAAAAACAGACAAATTAATCAGCCTCAGTAAATAAATAAATAAAAAGAAAACGTTGACTCACAGCTGAAAAACACCTCAGTAAATATTTACACTGTGCCGTCGCAGTAAAGCAGAAACAGTCCTGCTCCTGATTTCACTGATCTACAGTCTGCGACAGTTACGTGGTGAGAAATGTAGTGATGAAGAAGAAGAAGAAGAGCAAACTAGGATGTAAACAATGTAGGTGTCACTTTCCTACAAAATTCAGCTTTGCAAAATGTTTTATGAGAAAGGAAATTAATTCACCACATGTATTATGATTATATTATTATTATCATTAAGCCTCAAAGATACACACAATGTGTTGACACTGAATTTAACGGTTCCTTTAATCTCCTGACACAGCTTTAATGTGACAGACGGACAGTAGATAGCTCTGATAGCTCCACAATCAGGTCTGAACACAGTGTGCAGACAGAAAACTCCGACTAACCTAATGACAAACTAACTAAGACTGTAACTGCTGGTTAACCAACCATGTAACTGACCACCTAAGTGTCTAACTACCTAATATCCTAAGAAACTAACTAGCTACACACTACCTACCTGGTTAAAGAGCTAAATAAATACAACAACACTAAATACTGAGCTAATCAATACAATATCTACCAGGCTAACAACCCAATGAATTAGTGTTAGTTAGTTTGTAACGAACAAACTAACTGACGAGGTAGTGACAGCAGCGACCTACCAGAGTTATTGTTGTTCCTGACAGAGACGTCTTCTTCATTTTCATAAGCCGACTGTCTGGACTTCTGTGAGGACAAAAACATTATAGTAATATAGTAATTACATTTTATAGTATATAGTCAGTTAATAGTAAATTTGAGTGCTTTGTGTGTGGACGACTGCGTTGCCTACCTTCCTCGCCAGAATCTTCCTCCTCTTCTTCTCCTCCTCTGAGCCGTGGTGCGACTGAGCTCTGGTCAGCCTCCGGTGCTGGTGGAGCTTCAATCAAACATTAATACACAACGTTATCCTCCTTACAAACAGTAAACTTCATATTCACCAGCTGCGTTATGCAACCTTTTAATGAAACCTGTCGGCGTCACGGCTAAAGAACAGAATCAAGACGCTTTCAATCAGCTGCTTTTATCCAAAGTATTTGTTTTATTAGTCAAAGAAAAACTCTGCTAAGCTTTAATGTTTCCAGCTGCACAGACACATGAGTTTGATTCATTGTTTTGCTAAATGCAAACTCAAAGCTTGACGGCATATAATTCTGATGGTTCTCGATTCCCATCCCTACCACTAATGTGGACATGACGAGCTGACGGGGATTGAACCACCAACCCTGTGATCAGTGGACTACCTGATCCATCTCCTGAGCCCCAGCTGGGCAAAGCCAGTTAATGACAGTAAAATAGTTATTAGAAGATATGAAAGCAGCTGCTGAGGGTTAAATTACATTCACTTTGTATTTACAGAGAGAAGATTTGGGGTTTCTCTGCTGTCGGTTCCTGGAGTCAGCATCCAGTGGCCATTACAGGAAGAACCGCTTAAAATAATCCCACACTGAAGTCATCAGTGTCTTTGTGTTTGCAGCATGAAAAGGTTGTGGGAAACTACGTTGCAGGGTTTTTCCACAGCTAGAGGCAAATGTAATTCCTCTAAAGCAGCGAGCATTATGTCCACGTTATCTGAAAGGTCACTGATTTAAAACATAGACACTCAGGGGGTTGTTGATGTAACCTTGAAGAAGGGACATGAACTCTGGCATAAAACAGATCAAGTTGTAAAATGAGAGTAGTGACGCACCACTCTCTGCTCCTCCTGCAGCCTCTTCTCCAGACTCTCCTTTGCCGTCTTCAGCGCCTCTTTTAGCCTGCTGGGAACCTGGAGGAGTGGAGAGGGAGTCAGATCTTTGCTATTTTTCTTCATCTTGTTTTCGTCGAGTAAATAGTCACGTAATGTCAAACTGAGCCTCTCACCTTGATCTGGAGTTTCTCTGAGTGTTGGAGATGGACGTCACTGAAAAGCCTGCAAAACACAAACTGTGAGTCATCAGCAACAACAAACTGACAGCTGCGTTCACACAGCAGGAACGAATGGCCCAAAATGTCAGATCATCATTCATGTGACTTCTACGTCACTGCAGATCTGCGCTCGTCATGTCGGTCGCTTCAGGACAGCGACCTGTTCACACTACAATCTGATAAGGGCCACACAATAAACAAAGATCTGAGCAATAAATCGGAATTGAGGGCTAAGACTTTGTGAACTCAGCCATAGATGACGTTATCCAGACATTGTTTTATATTAAAGGACACATAATCCAGGAAACTGACATCTTTCTTGCCGACTTCCAGTTTTAAAGAGTTAGTTAGTTAATGTTAGTAAATTATCTGTACAGTCATTTACTGAACATACAATCAATTGATTAGTCTGTATTGTTCATAGCAACATGGGCAGAGAACAGAGTTTAGGTAAACACAGAACTCATAATAAAGAGTTTTTGTTTGGATGAAAAGCCACAATAGAGACAAAAAGAGGTATTTTAAGATTTAGATGGCGCAGTGTGGGTGTCGGGGTTTTTGAATCACACAACACAACAAACAATGCGTCGCTGTCTGACTGTATGCGTCTAGCTGCTGGACAGGTGAACTCACGGTGTCTGCATGAGCTCCGACACTGTTGGCATCCCGCTCTTACAGGCTTCTGTGGACAGGATGGACTGCAGCACTGACACTGAACACACACACATAATAAATCAACACATCATATTACGCTCTTAGGAACAAAACTTTGGGACATTTGAGTAAACTTGATTGTGTATTCGTGTACTGACCCACAGCGGTGTAGGGGACAGCGGGGTATTGATCGATGGGGACGCTGTCTGGCGGACGGCCGTACGTCATCTCGTACAGTAAATGTCCAAAGCAGAAGACGTCGATGCTTTCTGTGGACTGCAGACACACACACACACACACACTAAATAAGTAACAGATAACACACTTGTGAATCTTTTTTTCATGTTTTACTTTTTTTTTTTTTACTAATTATTTTATGTAAGATTTTCTAAAACAAAGACATTAATGTAATATTATCCAATCTGAGTCTGTGCTACGTACGTTGATCTTCCTGAGCTGGGTGAAGGCAGGTCGCAGCGCTGAGGGAACTCCCAGCATGCCGTTCTCTACGTCCATCAGTCGACACACGCCGTCATCCACAATTACGTTGGACGCGTGGAGGTGACCGAAAAATACGCCGCCATCGTGGAGGAGCTTCAGACCCTGTACACACACACAGAAACACACACAGCTCTAGTAACAAGTAACACTTCAATGTTTTTCCATCGCATGGTTCTCTACAGTCAACTCGACCCACTCTGGTTGTCCACCGTGGATGGTTAAATAGCAAAGCATCAATAACAAACACAACTTTTACGTGCCCTCAAAAATGGTAGACTCTAAAAACCCCGCAGTGATCAGCTGACGAAGTGCAGACGTATCAAGAACACCATCCTTTCACATCCTCTGTTATAAGAGTAGCAGCTTCTTTTCGCGTGCGTAGTTAGTTGGTAGGAGAGAGCAGTAAATGTACAGGGTCGGTTACAGTTAATAACAATGAAAAAAAGCTACAGCTTCTCAAGACCAAAGTAAAGCTCCCTGTTGTTTCCCAACTGCGTCGCTATGACGACCCGCTCCACCCAAGCACTATCTACAATGGAGAACGAAGTAGAGCTAATGAAAGCGAGTCGAGTCGAGTCATGTAGTGGAAAAAAGGCTTTTGTGTTGTGTTTTGTTTGTTTCATTGCATGGAGTTTTCTCTCTGTGTGTGTGTGTGTGTGTGTGTGTGTGTGTGTGTGTGAGTGAGTGAGTGAGTGAGTGAGTGAGTGAGAGAGAGAGAGAGAGAGAGAGTGTGTGTGTGCATACCTCCAGTATCTGGCGGCCGTAGAGTTTGATGTGCTGCAGTTCGAGGCCCTGACTCTTCTTCGGGTTACAGTACTTCTTCAGGTAACTCTCTCTGGGCTTTACCTAGAGGGAGGAGAGTGGTTAGCAGTATCCCCGGGACTCCTCTCAAACCTCTCTGATATCTCACAACCAAAACTGTCTGAACTGGATTTACAGGTTAGATTAAAGTTTGTTTGTTTGTGTTCATTACTGAACTTCCCCACGTATTGACTGCGAACCCAGATCTTATTTCTGTGCTTGTCTATTTTAATTGCACAACACACACAGACACAGACACAGACACACACACACACTGTACCTTACAGATGTGGTCTCTCAGAGAGCCTCTCTCATTGAACGGTCGGATGAGGAGAGCTGAAGACTCACTGGTGCTGGAGAACAACAGCGGACAAAGATATGGAGTCTAGAGAGGAGGAAGAGAAGGAGTTTGATTACTTACAGTTAACAATTAATTAGAATGAAATATATCTCTGTTTTGTTAGGTGTCTGTATTTATTCTATTAATACTGATAAAAAAAAACAATACAGTATTATTAAAATGGATATTTAAATATGTATGAATTTAGTTTTATCTACAGCGACATTGACTCGTGTCTATCTGACCAGCTTCCAGCTTTTCAGTTGATAAAGCTCTTCTTGGCTTCAGCTGCCTAGATGGATGTTTCCTTTTCCACAGATTATCAAACCAGAGCACATTTACTGTGGCTTGTTTTTTGTTTTATTCACATGTCCTTCTCACGTTAAAACAGATTCTAAAAAGTCAGACACCAGTTTTAACTTTTGACAGGATATGTAGTTGCTGTGTTTTAACTGTGTGAACCAACTACACACACACAATCACACAGAGTGTACGTACAGAGAGGCTGGTCAGCAGCTTCATGGCTGACTGCAGGTCTTTGTCTGACAGGAACTTATCAGGACCCAGGTCCACCTACAAACACACACACACACACACACACACACATGCACACACACACGAGGGATTAGTTATTTTGAGGATTCCTTTGGAAAAAATGCAGTTGCACAAAAGTGGTTTAACAGTTGTACTTTTGGAAATTTCCTTCAAGAAATCAGGTTTAACCTTTAAGTACATTTCAAGGCTCTGAAGGAATTCCTTTAAGTCTGTTTTCAGTTCATCCTCACAGACAACGGAAATAAGAAAATAACAAAAACAGTTATTGAAGTACCAAAGTGTTTACAGTCTTTTTTTCTCTGTCCAAATTTGTTGCTTCTGACTGGACGTTACTTCGACATCAGTTAATTTAATTACACTGAATTTACCTAAATTTAATCTGTTGTTGACTGTGGGAAATCACTCAGTATGAGACATGTTCCACTGTCAGAGAGAAGTAAAAGAGGAATACGTGTCTCTCTGTGCTTCACAAAACTGTTATTGCTCTTACAGAAGCTGATATGTGTTACAGATTAAAATGAACAAAATAGTTCATTTTATTGCATTTGAAGAAACATTAACTTAAACTCGGCCTGTGAAGGACTGAAACATGAAGAAATACACAAACTTCAGGCAGTTAGAAGCCGGGATTTTGCAGTCCTTAAGAAATGAGACGTCATATTTTGTTTCAAAACATATAAAGATGATCAATATAAACACATAAAACAATATCTATATACAATAGTATACATATATTAATATCATATAAATGAAATAGTTTCGAACTCTTAACTCACTATTTAAAAGAGATTTCTATAACACAACCATACTGACAATTTAATATATGCAGTAATATAATTGTATTCCTCAACCTGTTTTTATTTGATCACATAAAACTATATTTTGTATTAAAGGTTGATTTGAAGTCAATAAGCAGAACTCAGTGTCACGTGTTGATTTCTACTGTACTCACCCAGCTCAGCAGATACCTCTCCTTGGGCTGCTCTTTGTTCTTGATTAAAAAATATTGCTTCCTGATCCTCCAGCCTGAAAAACAAACAGCATTAATTTCAATCTACTGCATTGTTTGTCCTTAAACCAACACTGTGTATCTTTTGAGAAAGGAGTAAACACATTCTTCCTCTGACAAATGAAAAGTTGAGTTCATGAGCAATAAAACGTTGCTAAATTCAACACACTCAGTTTCTGGTATGACCAGAAGCATGTTAGCTAATGTTAGATAATGTAAAACTTTATTTATATAGAACAAAATCACAAATCACAATTTGTCTCAGTGGATTTTACAATCTGTGAAACATTCAACACCCTCTATCCCTAGACTGTACTATAGCATTATCTAATAATGTTAATTTGTTGCCACAACGGTCGCCGTTCAGCAAAAGTTACGTAAGTCTTTTTTTAAAGGTCCATTTTAAAATTCACTCTAAAGTTTATCTGTCAGGTTATTTCAGGTTCTATTTGCTTTATTTTTCCTTTTTTCTGATACTTAACAAACCAAATCAGATCGTGTTGTTTCAATGAGGAGAAATGATTCAATCACTGTTTGGATGCTTTCTTATTATCTGATTATAAATCAATACTCAATGTCAGCTGTCACAGGTGAACACCTTCCCAGAGTGACTGAAACAGTCATCAATCATTCAAATGACTTTTGTCCTGAGTAGGGGACAGTCTGGTTTCTTTTTAATGATTCAATTCACCACGGAGGGAACTGAGAGCAAACTGTGTGTTTAAAAAGATGAATATAACGAGAGGAGCTGAAACAATTAGGCTCCTAAAACGAGAGGATTTGCTGCTTTTTTTCCATCTTCTATCACAGTAAACTGAATATTTTTAGGTCTGATCAGAAAGTCGACATGTAAACTTAAAAAGCAATGTTTAGTCAGGTTCAGATCCACCCTCAGTCTTACCGACGTCTCTGAGAGGCTCCTGGACCTCCCACTTTGGGTCCGACCTGAAGAACATGGAGACCTGCTGCAGGGCGATCTCTGAGACACAGACAGACAGAGTACACTTTAATGAATTTGAAAATTTAAAAAACAATGTATTCCCTATTGCAGAGAAGTCACAGATAATAGTGCTTTCAAACAATATGCAGTCACACTGTCTGCTGCTGTGAATCTCCCCTTATTTCATCATGTAATATTTTTAAATACAGTAGGGAATGATTGGCAATGATTACTATAACAAGCTTAACAAGCTGATATAATCAAGCTCTATTGGTCCATATGAGATAATCCAGCTCTGACGCTGATGTTGCTGAAGGGGTGTCGGGTATTATTCTGGGTTATCTGATAAAAATTTAATTAGGTCCTCCATCATTTTCTCCATCAGAGTGGTTTCTGTGGCTGCTGAGCTGGAAAACTGACAAAAACACAAAGAAGTAGTAAAACAAAGTAACAAAAGTCTCTTGTATCTGACAGAATGAAGGAAAAATCTTTGTGGTCCTTTGCAGTTTTTGTAGATGTGGTAAAAAAAATCCACAATCTTTAACATACATACGAAGTTTTGACTTGTTTATGTGTTTATAAACAACTTTCATGGTCTAAAACCTACTCTTCCTCATCTGATGTCGCCTACACTGTCTCTATGGAAACTACCACTGAAGACTGAACATAATCTCTCAGTGAGGATGAGGAACACACCTGTGTAGTTGGCGGAGTAGTTGTTGGGGTCCAGGAACTTCTTCACAAACATGGAGCTGGAAAGCAGGGGATGCTGGGTAATTGAGTCCAGATAGGTCTGTAGTCCTCTCTGCCTCTCTGCTATGAACTCCCTATCCATGTTTCCGATTAGCTTCTTGGGAGGAAGAGGGAGACTGATGCCGCACACCTGGAGAGAGAGAAAGAGGGAGAGAGAGAGAGAGAGAGAGAGAGAGAGAGAGAGAGAGAGAGAGAGAGAGAGAGAGAGTTACAATGATTTACTCACAAAAAAAAGATGAAAGTGAGACAGACAGAGAGAGAGACAGAGAGAGAGACAGAGAGAGAGACAGCAGGTTTCCGACAGTTCTGTTGCGTGTTGACTTAAGATCTGGGGCTGACGGGAGGTCGGGAGTCAGCAAGTGGGACACCAGAAAAGGAAATGAGCAGGCGAAACCTCAGCAGGAAAACTGCAAACTTCCTGTTATCCAGGAATAATTCGACCTCGTCATAAGACGAGTCTCGACCAGGACAATCTGACATACGTACAAAGTCAGATCTGCTCCAGTCCGGTACAATCCAGTTCCACCGATTACAGATTTCAGTACGATCAATAAGCCAATGTCAGGGGTTTTTCAGCTGTTTTTGATGGTCCTTGGGGTGTAACTATATATATATAGTGGCACAAACAAATGTACAATGGAGACGAAGAGTGTACACACATGTCTATAGTGCAACCATGTTGGAAACGATGTGGCAAATTCTGGGCTATTAAATACATAAATCACGTATAGTATTATTCTTTGGTAATATGACAGCTATAAAAAGGCCATTATGAAGAGATGGTACAGAGATCAACTGCCAGCACAACACAGATGGCTGAATAATGATGATAATTGTAAATAAAACACATGATGGAACTTTTACGAGTTCAACTGGAGTCAATGGACAATGTTTACATGTCAACAACAAGGAAAATGAACCATTGAATGTGCCACAGGATTAAACAGCTTTTGTTGATGCAATCCAGATGTTTCCATGTTTGTTTGTTGTTGTTTTTTTTACCATCACCATCCCTAGAGCCACGTCACGAGCATGGCTGACAATTAATCCACAATACGAGATAAACTTCATCAGCAGAGCGGTGCAGAGTGAGCACACAGCAGCTTCATTCCAACACTAACAGCTAATCAGCACAGGAACAATCATCAAACTGCCCTCTCACACCAACAGCAGAGGCTTATGGGAACTCGATGGCACAACAGCAAAGGCTCGAGTGTGTGGTAACGAACCGCAACTGAGCTTTCCCAAACAGGAAGGAGATTGGCTAAGACGAGGCTGGTGTGTGTGGCAGTCGGTGTTTGTGTGTGTAAATGTGGAAACTTACAGACTCACATTTTAAAAGTTACCAGGCTCCAGTTTCTGTATGTTTTTACCAACAAACATTGCGTGCTGTAAAACTATTGTAAGAAGAGTTCGTATGAACGCTGAATATTCACATTGGGCCTCGTGCAGGAACATTTTTGTACTCTTATCTTAACTTTTCCTTTCCATAACTAACGTCCAGATAATACAATAGAAGACTACACGGTGTGAGAAACTTCATTCATTAAAGGGTACGGAAAAGTAAAAAGAAGAACTTTATGAGCTCGCAGACCGAAGTCCTGCTCTCGGAGATTAACAAAGGAAAGTCTATGACTTTTAACAGCGTCAGCAGTGGAATTAAAGGACCTGTTAACGCAGTGTCACCTGAGGGTTGTAGAAGAAGTGTTGGCAATCAATAACCGCAACAGGAGGAGGTCAAGGGGCTGTCTTCATCACAGAGAGACTAAAGAATAAACGTGCCATAATAGGTGAAGTTGAGCTGTCAAGAGAGGGAGTTCCCCTGGACAGCGACACCTCAATGTGAAGAGAACTTTAACTCATCAATAACCAGTTTACATTAATGGTGACAGGATGAACAGGATGAAGTGTAATTTAAAAATTTCTTTAAAAGTAATGCAATGTACAATTCTTTAGTGGAAAACATCTGTTTGGATAACAGCAGACTAACACATAACTCCTATAAGTGGTCTGAACCACTCGTACATTATGTTTGTGCCTGAGAGGAAATTCAAAATAAGAAAAAACTGGTGAATGCTGCAAGTTCTCCGAACAACAAGCCACTTCAGAGAGAATATGTTTGAGTTGTTCTTGCATGAAGCCCAATGTTTTGAGTTAACCTATCTTTTTCTATCTTTAATATCAGAGACCATGGATGCTGGGTACAAACACACTCTTTTCTGTATCAAACAGGCTTTTAAAAAAGTGGCTGTGAAAAGTTTGTAGTTTCTTCCGTCAACAGCAGAACAGCAGCTTGAACTCATGTCAGTCACAAAGTCCCAGAATATCCACAGAAACTCCGCAAAGCTCGACTGAAGCCCAACAAACGTCTCTTCTGTCCATCTGCATGTCTTAAAACACTCGGTTGATGTGTGACTGAAAGATGTGAAACTCACCATCAGGCTGCTGTTGAGAACATCGAAGTCGCTGTAACGCCGGATCACCTGCAACACCAAAACACACCTATCAGCTACTGACAGAGCGGCTGTGATTAAATCCTTACTGGTCTGATGATCTGGAGCCGGACATTTTAATCCGTCAGTATTTCTGCCCAACAAACAAACTGTCATGTTTTCTTGTGATTGGTTTGTTTACCTGCCAGCTATTCTCTGAAGATACGCCCCTCTGGACTCGGACGATGTACTCCTGGGGAGAGACAAGAGACAACACAACCATAAAAAAACAATGTATTTGCTACTTATTCAAATAAATGTAATGTATATTAATAATAAATATAAATGGTTGAAACAATGAGACAACACAGATGGGTGGAAAAAATCTGTTAAATAAGGACGGAAGTAAAAAGTCTAAATAAGAAAAAGCTGTATTGTTATGACAAATAAAGGGAAACGTGTCATTTATTCTAAAAATGTCATAATTTTATGCAACTAAATTTAGTTTTATGAGCCAAGACTAGATAAGACTAGAGAGTACTGCTGAGTAAGTTTATGATTTTATTTTGAAAATAATCCTGGCATTAAAATAAAATTTTTAGTAGTTTTATGAGAAAAGTCATAGCATTAGATTTTATATTATAAGTCATGTTATTATCATAAAAACATACATTATTACATTAACATTATGCATATACAACCCTAATGTTGGACTAATAAAGGTTTTACAATAAAAAAAGTAGCAACATTATGAGATTAAAGTGGTAATTTTACTTGAACTAACTCATCAAATTAGTTAAAAAGAGGAAAGAAAAGAAAAACACAAACATTTTCTTGCTCTAAAAACAACCTCTTACTCAAAATGCTGTGACTCTCCCTAAAATTAAAGACAATAAAGTCCTGAAGGTCTGTGGATGTGAACCTAAATCCAAAGGGCTCAGATTTCTCCTGTGTGTGTTCACTTTCGGTTTCATTTACAAATAAGCGGCTCAGATAACAGCAGAGGATGAGTCTGATCACGTCACCATGGTTACAGATCAATGCAAATGAAGCTGCTGAATAAAAAGGTCTGAAGTGACGGGACAGAACAATTAAAAAAAACAAGAATATTTAACTGGTGTAAACATGGAATTTTTCTTACAGCCGGCAGACTCTGGTTTCTGTTGTAATCCATTCATTCATTCATTCCTGTGAGCTGATCAGCTTCACAAAACACGTCCAGACATCACTTCCTGTCTACCTGCTGTAACTCACTGGAGGATTTATATCATCGGTCTTTAAAAATCAACATTTTAGCATTCAGAAACTACAGACGCAAAGATACATCGGCCGATGTTCGCCTTGACTGAAAAATAAGATGCTGTTCAAGGATATAAGTGGCCGATGTTTATCTGTTGTGTTGCATCAATTTTAAAAAAGATAAATTAGATAAAATTTTACTTTTATTAATCTAAAATTCAAACTTTCAGCTGAGACATTGGAGAAATAATAACCTCCATGTTTCCAGCTGCACCGTCGGACAGTGAGCGGCTGTTCAGTGCCTCAGATCTTGGATGAGAAGAGGCAACAACAAAAGGCAGAAATTCTTATCTTTGTAGATTTCTTTCTTTGTTTCATTGCCACAGAAGAGCAAATAAATAGGGACAAAAAAAACCCCCCATCTGGTATTCTGTATCTGCATCGGCTATCAGCCAGACTGTTGTTTCAAACATTGGTGTTGTTATCAGCCCAGAGTTTCCCAACCGGTGCCTCCTTTGTCTCAGAGCAGGGATATCAAACAGCAGTACCAACCTTATTAACCAGACTGAATGATCCACATTAGATCCAGTTTTCTTATTTAGTGTTTCTGCCACTCAGGAACAACAAGCTGCAGACTTTAGTGCCGTGTAATCCCTGGCCTCCCTCAAGTGACTTAACACAAATGATCCTAATGAGTTCCACACAGTGAGCTACACAGATTTAAAGCTTGAGAAAATAAGAGCACTAATATCAGCTGATACCCAGAGCTGAAGTGGAAACACAGATCAATACATCCGTATTAAAGTGATGAGAGTGTTTATCCATATAGATGAAAGAAAAAAACTACTGCTGAAGGTTACTAGAAATGTAAAATGTTGGTGTGTCAGTGGAACATGTTAAGTTATACTACATGTAAGAAACACATCACCCTCCACCCTCCACCCGTGGACTCCATTAGACTTTCTTTCCTTCCAGTCAATGACTTGTAATTGTTGACTAGCGGGAAGTGACTAGGCCTTGACTAGAAGCTCAGAACAGATGTTACAGGATGCACAGGCCTCACAGTATCAGCAGATTACATGTTGAGAAAATCTGGAGAGTCATCTGATTCTGCATCAAGCAAATCTGCATTTATTTTGTTCTGATTAACAGTAAAAAAAACTGCTGTTTTGGTTTATTTTGGACTAATGGAAGCAAAAAAAAAACCGCTAATAAATATAATAATTATTATTTATATCCTTCACTGTTAGTCTCTTCTGTGATATTATGATTCTGTTTTATAATTGCAACCACACCAACAATGGTCGGATGCCTGACATTTCAATGCTAAGCTAACTGGCTGGCTCAGCTGATCCCAGACGGACTGTCAACAACAAACCCACCGACACTGCGCCCATTATCGGACGCCCTGCTTTATTTCTTCCTGTGACATAAACCTGGTTAATGTCAGTCACATTGTTTAATCTCCGTTTCTTGCTTTTACACACGAGTTCAAAGAGTTTATTTCAGTGTAAAGTAACACTGAACACAGGCTTGTTCCAACACCTTTTGAGTTTTAATGTTTGGAGAGATGCCACGCCAGACTCCGTTAGAAAATCCTCTTATTTATTGTTTCTGTGGATTTCGAAACACGTGTATTACCGGTAACAAGACTCATACAAAACCCGCACATGTTAATCCACTCAGTCTTCTAATCGGCATAGATAACAAACAAGATGCAGCTACTGATTCAATCAAATCTCATAATTTCTACCCGGCTCATCCTCTTAAAACGACGCTAGCAGAGCGCTGTCGACAGGGGCAAACATTAAAAATACGAATTTTATTATAGATATTTGGTGGAGGAGATGTGTGCCGAATTTTATAATAGATCATTACAAATTCAAAACAGTCGTACATCTTGCTTTAGATGGCGTATTAGTCGTATGTGTGTTGAAATAAACAATAAAACGGACCATTCATAAATGGACTTTCGCTGTAATGGTCTAACGTTAGACCACCGACGGTTCTAGGGGCTGTTCTGATCCAGGGTCAGCTGCCGTGGTGGAGCTACAGTGCAAATCTAACAGGGCTGATTACACGGTGCTTACAGCGCTGCGGCGTGAGTCCGGAGCCAGTGTGCGGGAAAAGAGACGACACGAAGCGGCTTGCGTGTGTCCGATAATGGAACTGGTGACGCAGCGAACCACCTTTATTATTAAAAACACAACCACGGACGCGTCTGTGAGCCACCGGCGGACGTTGGACGGTCACACCTGCGTGTCGTTACCGGTCACCGGACACTCACCGTGTGGGACTGCAGGTTCTGGCTCGCTTCGATCACCGCCGTCAGCGGGACGGTGTCGTCCAGCAGCAGCCTGCCGGGGGACGGCTTCTCCAGGAAAGACATCCCGGAGGATTTCACCGCGAAACGTCCGACCCGAGGGAGAGTTTGTCCGGCTGTCAGTGAGTGGAAGCCGCCGGGGAGGGAGACCGACCGACCGACCGACCGAGGAGGGAGCCCCGCGGACCGGAGGACGAACACACACCGAGAGCAGCGACGTAGCCACTAGCTTAGCTTCACCGTAACCAGGAAGTGCGGCTCCGATCAGACGTCATCAGGCTCCGCTTTGTCGTCATAATGAGTGTGCGTCACTGCCACCTGCCGGTCCGGTGGAGGAACTACATGTTGTTTTTATAAATTGGGGTTTAGGGGGAAAATAAATAAATAAATAAACAAATAAATATTAAAAACTATACAAAAAAAAAAAAACAAACCCTGTAAGGTCCAATTAGTTTCTGGTTGTAGCAGGTTTTCAACCTAATTTCAGTGTATCTTAGCATTGAAAACGTCATCGTAAAGCTGAGCTTGAGTTGATAATGTCTTTTTAAAACGTCCATTTTTTAAAGGTCAAGAACAAACTCTCATGCTCAAACAAAAAAACTAAAATAAAAAAAATGTTAAATCAAATATTTTTAAATAAAATGCTCATTGTATGTCCTGATAGTGATTCAAAGTCAAAGCCACAAGAGTTAAAAAGTCCATTCCTGTAGAGAGAGGCAATGAAAGTAAACTGAATCACACCGACTGTGACGAGACGTGAACAGATTTATTAAATTAAAGGATAAAAAAAGAATTGATAAGCGTTTTTTTTTTATTTCACACATCGAACAAAACACGAAGCAGATCTGACAAATTCAACACGCTAAACAATAAATCCTGTGGACTGACCCGTTTCTCTGGTAACAATCAATTAACATAAACTAATCAATCAACATAATCAATAAACTCCCCCACGCAGCAAAAAAAAAAAAACCTGCCACTGTTCCATCAGAGCGCTGTGACCTCTGACCCCCCCCCGTCACTTCTGCTGCTCCTCGGGCATCATCACCATCACCTCCCCCTCCATCACCACTTTGTCTTTGACGGAGCACGTCACGGCGATGAAGGCGAACGACATCTTGATCTTGCGGACCTCGGCCTCGGCCAACACCTCCTCGCCGACGTAGAGCGGCGCCGGGAAGCGGATCTCCTGGTACAGGAAGACGCAGCCGCGGCCGGGCATCCTGGTGCCGAGCACAGCCGAGATCAGGCCGTTGATGAGGACGCCGTGGACGATGGGCGTCTCAAAGGAGGTGGTGCTGGCGTATGACGGGTCCAGGTGGAGGGGGTTGGTGTCGCCCGTGAGCTCGGCGAACAGCTCCACGTCGCGGGCGGAGAACGCTTTGGTGAGGGAGGCTCGCTGGCCGATGTGGAGCAGTCGACAGGAGGGAGGAAAAGACCGGCACGGCCGCGGTTTATTAAAGATTCTGCTCCACATGAAACTCATCCTGAACAAAAACAACTCCTTCAGTCCAACTGCAGCTCTCGACTGTTTCCTGTCAGCGCGAGCAGGAACGGAGACACCTGACGTTGGACACAACAGAGAGATAGTCTTTAATGTCCTCTTCCTGTATATTTATTTATATTTATACTCACATCTATGAACTCAAAATATATCTGCAGCTATAGAGAATCCTTATAATGAAGTAATGTGACGCTGCAAAGATTCTCTCATCAATGATTTCAGTGTTTTATTCAGTGAATTATTCTGACAATGTACGTAAAGTGAAGTCTGCTGACCTGCAACACTCTGAAGGCACAAGTCTGATTCTGGTAGGAGCCCAGCAGAGTGAGGGAGCTCCACAGCTTCACCAAACCCCTGAAAACACACACACATAGATACACAGATGGATGTATTTGGAAAAGGCATCTCGTCTAGGAGGATTGAACAAGTCTTCCCATCCTGCTGCTGCTGAACTCACCTGCTGTAAACACGCAGTAAAGCAGTGAAGGTGTCTTCATCGTACTTCAACAGGTCAAAGTTCAGCGCTGCTCCCACCTTGAAGCACAGAAATATAAAAACTTTACCTCCGTGTTTTTTAATGATTATATTATTATTATAATCTTATATTATTATTATTATTATTATATAATCTAATGTTATTTGACTCATCGTTTTGTTTACTAAATGTTAGAAAGTAGTTAAAATGAACAGAAAGTTTTCTCTGAACAACCCAAAACCAAAATATCAGTTTACCATCACATAACAAGACGTGGCATTTTTAACTTAAATTATTTACATCAGTTAATCGGTTGTCAAAACAATAAAAAATAATAAACAAATGTTTGTTTCTGTCAGTTTAAAGTCAAAGCGTCGACAGTGTTAATGATCTCACCTCTCCATACAGACTCCTCAGACCTGTGATGATGAACTGCTTCAGTTCGACTGCGCTCAGTCTGGTTGACTCATCCTCCAGCACGCTACACACACACACACACACACACACACACACACACACACACACACACACACACACACACACAGTGTAGTTACTGTAGTGTTACTTACATGTGCAGATATTAGGGATACATATTTATATAATAATATTTGATTGTAGAGATGACACACAGTCTCAGAGACTTACAGGCAGACCTTCAGGTAGTGGTAGGGCGAGGCGTTCTTCAACACGACCCGCTGGTAGACTGAAGGTTCGTCCTTCTTGTCGGAGCGTCTCATTATATTAAAGCATCAGAGACTCGGACTCCCAACAGTTTGACGAGCAGCGGGGCGATCAGCTGACTTCAGACTGGAAAACAAACTGAAGGTTAAACACATATCCATCAGTCCTACAGCTGTGTGTGTGTGTGTGTGTGTGTGTGTGTGTGTGTGTGTGTGTGTGTGTGTGTGTGTGTGTGTGTGTGTTCGGACGGTCAGTGGTAGGTTTATTGGTGTGAGGTTGATGAACTGAATTAAATTAACAGGATTATATATATATTATATTATATTTTATTATATATTATATTTTATTATATTATATTTTATTATATAATATATTATATTATATAATATTATTATATTTTATTATATTATATTATTATATTATATATTATATTTTATTATATTATATTATATATTTTATATTATATTATATTATATTATATATTATATTTTATTATATTATACTATATATTATATATTTTATTATATTATATATTATATTATATTATATTATATTATTATATAATATAATATAATATTATATATAATATAATATAATATTTTATTATATTATATATTATATAATATTATATTATATTACATTATATATTATATTATATTATAGTCTGTAAGGATGTGTATGAAAGTCTCCACTCAGAGACGATATGTGATGAGGCTACTCTGTGTTTTAACTTGTTGCAGAGTTCACTGTTTGAGTTAATTGTACAGTTTTGACTTTAATATAAAATATATAAAATATATATAAAATATATAAAATATATATAAAATATATATAAAATATATAAAATATATATAAAATATATAAAATATATATAAAATATATTTCACTTAATTTAATAAATATAAAACACAAAGGAGGTTTTAATGGATATGAAGGTCACACGATCAAACCACCTCTGTCCCACTTACATACACAGCAAGAGGGGTCAAATATATTCACATAAATTCCTCATAAATAACTGAACATTGTTTATTTCCCCACACAAACAAACAAACAAACAAACAAACAATAAACAGAGCTAACAAGATAGCCGCTAACCTTCCGGGCTTAAAGCAGCTGAACATTTAAACATCACGTTTTATTTACCGGCTACAGATTCAACGTGAAGTCACAGACACACAAACACTCATATACATTATATATATATATTATATATATGTATAAATGTTTGTTTATATTTATATATTTATATAATAACTGTATGGCTGCACAACCTGAAGCTAAAACCAGCTAACAGGAGGTCAACCTGTTAGCGTTGGGTAAATAACTCACAGCTAACTCACAGCTAACTCACAGCTAACTGCGGTTTGTTGTTGTTAAAATATTTAATAAATCGAAGAGTCAGAACATTTTACTCACCAGCTGCATCAACGCGGGGAGACGACCGCGTGTTTTGAAGCTTTCAGCCTCCGTACGAAACTTTGAACCAGTGCGCAGGCGCAGTCGTCAAAAAGCAGGCTGTGCCAAAGAGGTGTAAAACAGTGAGATGGTTCACTCTGCTACAGACTCAGTTCGTTTCTGTCAGGTAGTTTTACATTTGAAGCATTTGCCTTGATGTAAACATTCAAGTCACACAATTAAAACAATATTTTCCTAAAAACAATAAACAGAAGTTCTACGGAGCCCCTAAAGTCCCCAAAAGAGAATATTTTTATCATCTTGTGCGCACAAGTTACTCATCTTACGGGCACAAGTTAATAACTTGTGCCCGTAAGGTGATAAAAATATTCTCTTTTGGGGACTTTAGGGGCTCCGTAGAAGTCAGATTAAAATGCAGCAAATAATAATAATAATAATAATAATAATAATAATAATAATAATAATAAAGATCCACCAGGAAAATAGTCTGTGATACAGATTAGAAAGAAAAGTTAGAAATAGTAAAAATAAAAATGTACACGTAACATTTCTTTCCTGCAGAAATGGTCTTTCATGCTCTTCTCACCAGTTAGTATAAAACTATTCTGTTTGGTTCTCAGTAATTTAGATTTTTAACCTGTTAACCAGTTATGCTCTTTAAACTAAACAGAATTTAAGTTATAATTTATCACTCTTACTATTTTTCTCAAAGTTTGATTTCAACATTGCAGAAGGAATAAAAGCTTAAATCTATTGGTACAAAGTCAGAGCTTTACCTTTTAGTGTGTAGATAATGTTTTCACACATACTGAAGCTAAACAGAGTTTCACAAATTAAAAAAAAAACAAAATAATTCAGAATTTGATATAATATATAGTTTATAGAGGAAGCAAATACCAGTAGATAAGGCTAAAGAGTGCTACTACACAAGAGAAGGCATCAAATAAACAGGTGCTCTTTGGATCCAAGGACGTATCGTGAGACTAAACAAGAGCTGTGATTTGCTTTATGATCAATAAGTCATAACCACCATCAATTTCAGGGCCCCTGAAGAAGAATGATGACTTATTGATCACAAAGCACAATACTAGGCTAACCTCTCTCCTCTTTGGGTCATAATATATGGTTTAGTGGACAAAAGTTCTGAACACTAAGCTGCAGTAAAAACAAGTGATAAAATCATCCACTTCATTAAATCATTTACTCTTTGTAATTCCTGATAAAGTTGTAAAGATGTGTCGCCACCTGGTGGTCTGTTGGTGTATTACTACAAAGTAAAAACAACACAAGTTTCCAATCAATCAATGAAATAGTAATCAGTATCTTCATAAGATTTATTTCTGTAGCCCAGAAAACACTCTTTGTACAGGAGCTGGAATTATTAAATCATCTCATTCATCAAACTTTTTTTTTAGTAAAGTAAAATAAATCCAACAACTCTTTCACTTACAGTACATTTCTCATTCTGAATCTCAATCTGAAAATGTTTATATGAGGTTAAATAATCAGTTGGTTCACAGCAGGAGACTCAACACAAAAACAAACACCTGCCATTCACATTAAACAACAGACGGAAATACAGTTTTTTTTTTATGAAAGTGAAATGTGCAAAATCCCAACGTGGAATGTTTTTAATTCAACATTAACTTCTAAAACAGAGACGACAGCCTCCTGCATCGAGTCTGCGTCTGTAAAAACTTCAGGAATATCTGACAGTCTGAGTCTGTTCCCATTTTTGTGCTTTAATTTAAGTGTCACACATGTAAATGCTGCTGTAGAAAAACTCTTATATTGAACTATAAAAGAGTATAATCGCCTTCATCATCCATCGCGAGAGGTTCAAAAGTTTCTTCAGGAAAGTTTCTTTGCGTTTTCGCCGTTGACTTCCTGCGCAGACAGGAAGTCCATGATGAGGTTGGCGGCTTTCCTGGGACGCTCCAACGCCACAGAGTGACCACAGTCATCCAGAACCTCCACCTGGCAGCTCGGGAGCGACGTCTTCAGCACCGCCGCCCCCGACACGTCCACCACCTGAGAATGGATCAATATAACAAATACAGTTGGGCCTTTTTTTTCTTGAACATTTTTTTAGTATTTAAATGATCATTAAAAACCAAATATGACTCATTTGTACCTGGTCTTCCTTCCCCCAGATGACCTGCACAGGTGATGTGATCAGGTGTAAGTTTTCCTGCAGCGAGTGACGAGACTTCTCCCCGACAATCTCCATGAATACTGAACACCACGCGCACACACACACACACACACACAATGAACAAAAAGAACAATCCACTTTTAAGCTGACATAAACCAGAGAAACCAGGCGGCTGTTTGCCTCCGACAAACCAGTCAAGTTGCAGTTTGTTTAGATTCACACTGTATAATATAAAAAGGTATAAAGTGTATTTTTTTTTTTGGCTAGATGGAAGTTAACACTATATTGATGATTGTATGATTCCAGTGAATATACTTTACACATGTACTCGATTACTATGTAAAGATGTAATCTTGTAGAATATTGTTTTCTCTTTTTAAATGCGTGTGTAAAATGAAATATGGAAATTGCCAAATTCACTCATGAATAAATGAATAAAAACCTATTTTGACCTTTGTTACCAATTCATTGTCTGACCATTTGTGAAATAAGGTCATCAGATATTGAGTCATGGTCACAGTGACCTTGAGGCGTTCCTGAAATATTGCCACAATTAAAACCACAACATGGCATAAAATTACACTTTCCCAGAATTTAAAGTGTAATTCTCACAGCTGGTATTGAAATGGAAGAGTCTCAGATGACGGCTGTACTATAATGTTTGTAATTGTGAATTCACTATAAATGACCATTTTCACAGCACTAATTAAATCAGTACAACCAGACCGTACACACCATTCTGCTCTGATTTCATTCACTAATTAATTAACTGAAATCACTTCTACTAAGATGCTGCCACACTTCATTATTCTTCATTATTCTTTATTTTGGATCTGCAGCAGCTTCCAGAAAGCGGACACTAGACTTCAGAGAGAGTTATAAGTTAAAGTTATAAATTAAAAGCCAACCAGAGAAGTGGAGGATTATTTTCTTTGAGCTGCTGAAAAGGTTTTTAATGTGAAACCAAAATTCACTGACAGCAATTGGAAAAAGCAGCATAATAGAAAAACAAATGAATTAACAAAAGAAAACAGTATTAGTGCAGAGTGGTTGAGTTTGACTGTTCGACTGATTACATTAGTGCTGAGGAAATTTAATTATACTGAATTTATCAAACAACAAAGAGGAGGTGCTGAATTTGTAATAACAGGAAAATTAAAACAGATCAGAAGACAAGAAGGCTTCAAGGAGCTGAATGAATGTTCACCCATTATCTGAGAGCTTATTGTAGGTATTAATTAAAAGAATAAGCCTCACCTTTAGATTATGGTTATATAATGCAACAGAGGGAGAGAGGAGAGAAGAGAAGAAGGAGGTCACAGTAAAGACTGACCTTCTTTATAGAAACCATTGTTGGGCATCCTGTTGGCAAGGAGACCTCGCAGGACCTGACAACACACACACACACACTCACTCGTATCAATAGATATTCCCCAAACTCTCTTATTACTAAAACCTTAAAAGTGTCTCGATCTGGATTGTAGTCGAGGTCGTGCTGCTCTGTACCTGCTGGGGGAGGTTGAGGGGGGTGTAGCAGCAGAGTTTCAGCATGTCCTCCAGCTCCTGATGGGTGGTGGGGATCAGAGGGATCGAGTCCTTCATCTCAGTCTTCTCCAGCTCCCTGAGACGACTGATGAACTCAGAGTCTGTGGGATAAACCAGACCTGGAAGACAGAGAGGAGGAGGGAGGAGGAGGAGGAGGAGGAGGAGGAGGATGAGTCATTGTGCTTCATGAAACAGGTCTCAGGTTTGAATCCTGGAGGGAAACATCTGCTGAGTTTACCCGCCGGGCAAATCAAGGTGGCGCTGCACAGGTCAGCAGGGTGATGAGCAGCGTAAACCCCGGCGACGTTCCCACCCATCGATGTCCCGACCAGGTGGAAGGGTCTTTTATCCAAACCGATACTCTTCACAAACTGAGACACAGACAGAGAGAGAGAGAGAGAGGTGTTAATTAAACGTCTCTGTATAAACACCAGAACCTGGAAACCTCTTCAGGAAGCTGAAACTGAACCACAATAAGAAACAGTTCCAGTCTTTATGCTAAGCTAACCACGTCCTCACAGACTGCAGATTTATCTAAACATCTCATTATCAAGAAGACGGAATAGGAACGGCTCACAGGGATCAGTCGGACTGCAGGGCAAAGCTGAACAAAGGTGAACGTTGACCTCTCTGATTACATGTTGAACCAGAAACAAACCATATCTCTCACAGTAATTCCTGACCTGTGTGACACACAAAGGTGATCGAGCACGTGGAGCTAAAAGTCAAACTTTACGATCAGGAATGTAAAACACATTGAGGACAATGTCAAACTTCAGGGACGTTACAGTTCTGATATTACGTCGTCTGATCCTGGCTGTTAATCTGTATCACGTTACACACTCGTACAGACCTGGTGGATTCGGGCGACCTGGCCCTGAATGCAGTAGTCCTCTGCCCCGGTGCGACTCGTCCCCTCGTGCCCCGGCATGTCCACGCACACCACATGCTGGTTTCTGGGGAGATACTGGAGGAGAAAACAAACACACACACACACACAACTGTAATGAAAAGATGCTCCACATCTTTACAGAGACCTGCTCCTTCAACATCCTGGATCAAGTACTCGTTCTGAGCCGTCAGAGCGCGGTCAGTGGATGGACACTGTGTCTTTTTATGTGAAGATGAAACCATATTATTGTTGTGTAATTATAAATAAATGATCATTGATTCTTTGATTACTAATTCTGAGCAGGTCTTTACTTTACAGTGTCTCCCTGTGTCTTTCCTACCCTTCCTATCTAAACTGTGTCTGTCCCTGTATCTGTGCCTTACCTTGACGACAGGCAGCCACATGTCCTTTGTGGCAGAGAAGCCGTGCAGCAGCAGCAGTGACGGCGTGGCGCCCCCTGGCGTCCCGCGGCTGGAATAGCAGAAGCGGTAACTTCCACTGTGAGAGTAGTGG